CACAGTGAGGACTTGGGCTTCCTTGCTTAGTGCAGTGAGGCCCACAAGGGAGTTTTGGGGGGCCAAAGGGAGGCAGCACCTCAGAGGGCACAGGACGTCACCCTGTTTTCCAGCTCCTCCCCCCGTCATGGGGGATCCCTGCGGGCAACTCCTCTGCCTCCTTCAGGTCTCCTGTAGCTCCCTGGTGTCTGGGGAGGGGTGGTGGGCATGGCCCCCTTCCGCAGGCTCTGGGCCGGCAGAGGGGGCGTGTTCCCTGTGCTGTCCTCAAGGAGGTTTTCTTAGCCTCCTCTCCTCCTGTGGGAGGTGGGGACAAACCGCCAGCTTCAGGGGCTGCTGTGATGATGGGAGGGCCCCTCCTGCGGGTCCTCAGATGGCGGAGAGCAGGGTGGTGATAGTTTCTCACTAGAGCATCACTGTGTACTTAATGAACATCCAAGACTGTCCTTTACTTGGGAACAATGACCTTCCTACTTCCTCGGTCCCTGGCACCTACATTCCTTGACATGATGCTCTTTGCTGTGAAATTTAGAACATGTTCAATACGGGGCCGGTCTGTGAACCCAGCTGTCCTGAAGCCACCCGCAGAGCCGAGGTGCCCAGCAGGTGCTCACCAAAGGGTGCTGTGAGGGTGCCGGCCAGTCCCAGCCCACTGCCCTGCCGTCCCGTGAGCCTGGCAGCCCTTCCTGGCCGCTGGGTGTGGGCTCTCGCTGTTCTCTCATCCTCCAGCTTTCCCTCCGCTGTCCCACCCTGGAGATTCCAGCAGACGAGCGCAGCCACACACTCTGCGCCCTGCCGGACAGAAAGGGGGGGTGGGCAGGGAGGCCTTGCTGAGCCCATGGTCCGCTGAGGGGGAGCCAGCCCTACGACAACAGGGTGGCAGCGGCGACGGAGGACACTGTCCTCCGGAAGCAGCTCTTGCTTCAGAGCAGGGCGCCCTGAGCCTGGGTTTCCGAGGCTTGTCCTGAACGGCTGCCGCTCCCCGGGGCTCTGCCAACCCTCGGTGAGTGCCGCTGTGCTCACTGTCTTGCACAGGAGAGTGGTGGCCTTGTTAGCCGCCTTGCAGAAAAGCCAGGCGAGCCAGGGCTTCCAGCAGGGCGCTGGGGCCCAAGGCCGGGGACACGGGGCTCACCAGGGTCCTCTGCACCAGCACCTGTTGGAGCCTTTAGCGCTCCGCTGTGACCCGCAGGCTGCTTCTCCGGAAAACTGCTTTGCGTTGGCTGCAGCGAAGCTGAGTGAACTTGTGCAACTGGGATTCCGGCTGGGTGCCCCTGTAAGCCGCCTAAGATCCTTTTTGGAATAAGGACGTTTCCCTTCTGTTTCAGGCCGTTCTGATACCAACCAGGGAGACTTTAGTGCTAGTTTTCCGTGATGACTTTTCACCTGCTCGTTTTGCTCATTCATCCTGGTGGCACCCACTGTGGGCCCTGGGTGGGGGCGGGGGATCGGCGACAGGGAGCTGGGATTGGCTGAGCCGTTGGGTTTCCAGGGTCTCCCATCCTCCCCTACTCAGGGAGGCGGGCAGGGCTCCTCTGCCTACTGTTCCGTGGAGACCGAGGCTGCCGTCGGCACTGTGCCCAAGGCCCAGAAGATGCTGAGCTGTGCACAGAACCTGAGCAGCTCAGGGGCACAGCAGGTCTGGCCGAGGCGTGCAGCATGAACCTAGACATCGGGCCCGATGCTCTGTCCTACTTCCCGGCCACTGCCCCTCTTTGTGGGACAGGCGGGCCCAAAGCCCATGGAGACAAGGCTGCCAAGAGCTGGGGTGGCCTGGGGGACAACCAGAGGCGGGGTGGTCTCTCCTCTAGACTTTTGCTGGAGGACAGAGGCCCCTTCGGTGGCCAGGCGGGCCACAGTAAACAGAACAAGGCAATGTGAGAGTCTGGCCTGCTCCTCCCTACCCTGGAGCCCCCGTGCTGGGCCCTTTGCTGCTCCAGAACTCGCTCTGTGTTGCACAGAAGTGCGTGGAAGCTTCTGCCTGGCGTCAGTGCCCACTGAACAGACTAACCGTCCTCCTGGGCTCTCCCTGCCCTCTGGCTCCTTCCTGTTCTTTGGTTTTTGAAAACAAACTCAGAGACACCCAAGTATATCATGGGCACAGTCACAGTGAAATGCATTTTATTTTAATGTGTTCCTTTTATCTTAGGGTATGTCGGTCACAGTGGGTGTCACTGCAGGATGGTGAAGGGCACGTTCTGAGTTACAAGCAGGGATTACCACACTGGGGGGTGGGGTGGCAGGTGTGTGCCCTGGCCCCTGCAGGGCAGGCTGGAGCGCCCCGCCCGGGAACACTGGGCTCTGACGCTGCAGTGGACCCTCGGCCGCAGGCCCGGCCAGTCACCACACCAGCCCCGTGGAGAGAGGCTATTCCGCAGCTCTACCTTCTGGATGAGCGAATTAACATTGGCAGGAGGGCTGAGCCACTTGTCCAGAGCCATGCAAGAAACAGAAGGGTGAGGCCTGGACCCTGAAGCCTAGAGGGATAAGGGGATCAAAGCTCAGACAAGAACAGCTGTAAAAACGCCAGCCCTTCTGAGGCCAGCGCCGAGAACGGGTTATTCCCACTGGAGCCACAGTGGCCGTGGGGGGCCAGACGTGCTCCCCGGGAGTGGACGCTGCAGGACGTGGTGGGTGACTCAGCTGCACGTACCACAAGCACCTCCAGTGGTTGGGGTGTTTTGATTACCTAAGCAGTGTGACTCTGAGGGGGGGTCCCCAAAGCAGCTGCTTGCAGGCAGGGCTTGCTCTGCAAGGCAGGTGAACTAGGGCACATGAGGAGGGGAGCCTGGCACCCCAGTGTTCCTGAGGCTGCTCGGTTTGGGTTCACTTCTCTCCATCACGGTTCTTGGTCAGCACATCTCTCAACTGGGAAGGCACCCCACTGGAAGGCACCCCACACAGGCCGGTGCTCGGAGTCCTGCTCCAGCCCGACCGCAGGTGCGGCCATCCTATCTTCGTGCCCCTCCCACTTGCCCGTCAGATCTGGGGCAGCATGGAGTCAGGCCCAGAGCCACTGTGAGGGTCGGAAGACCCCGTGTCAGGCTCACCCCGCAGGCAGACGGGAGCCAGGAGTCAGACATCATCTGTGCAGCCGGGGCCCTGAGGGTGCAGAGGGGAACCCTGTCCTTACCGCTGCCCGCTAGGTCAGCAGTTCCTCAGCTGCTGGGGGCGGAGCTGGCACGGAGGGCTCCACATTCAGAGTGAAACCAGTGGCTTTGCTGCTTAATCTCCGCACTCACTAGGGCTGGGCCCGCGGCCAGGCCTGGAGCAGAACTGAAAGGGAGACTAGGCCTGTTCCCCTCTTGGCCTGGCCTACTTCCTCTCCGTGATCCTGAGGCCTGGAGCCAGCAGGGAGGGCGGGGGCCAGGCAGGGCCAACTGCAGAAGCAGGAGAAGGAAGGAAACAGCCCTTTGTACCTCACCTATTTTGCAGACAGGAAACGGGGGCTCTGAGGAACCGGCTGGCTATGGAAGCTGCCGGGGCACAGAGGCCCCGCTCCCCAAGTGTGCTGCTGTGCCCCCCACATCTGACTCCCAGGCTGAGGTGTCGGGGTACAGGGGACATGGGAGAGAAACAGGAAAGGTGAAAAGGCTGAGGCTGACTAGGTGTACAACCCCTCATTTCCTCATTCACACCATTAGTGCAACGACGCTGCAAACCCTGGCAAAGGCTAGTGTTTCCTTGAGGGCTGCTGCTGTCTGCAGACCGCTGTGTCCAACGGGGCAGGACTGGGACCTCCCAGGAGCCCTGGGGGGGGGGGCGCTGAAGGCAGGCAGAGGTGCCCGGCTCCTGCATGTCCACAGCACAGTTACACACATCTCTGAGAGATCAGTTCTTCCACCACCTTTTGGAAAAGGCAGCTCCTGGCCAAGATGTGCCCTTCTGGGCAGAGGAGGTAGAAGTTGGCTCCTCCAAAGTCTGACTTTTGTTTCTACTTCCCCACCCTGTGCTGACTCTTTAGGGGCCACGGTATTCCCCAGGAGTGCCTGCTACCTCCTGGCCCTTGGAAAAACAGCTTCTGGAGACAGGGGAGCTCAGCTGGGCCTCCTCTGTCCCCAGCGCATCTCTGGCTCTTTCCAACATTCTTACCTTCTTCTGGCCTCTGCTGGAAGTAGCCACCATTGCTGGCCAAGGGTTTGGGAACTGCTTCACACATACTCTGAAGCTTGTGTGTGCTGGATGTCAGAGCAGACTCCTGGGCCCGAGGCTGTGACTGGGGCCAGCCATGCCGGGCTTGTCCCTTTGGGCACGCTGATGGACCTGAAGGCCTGAGGCTAACTAAGCTACCCCTCCTGAGACTTGTCCTGAGACCTGAAGTCAGGACAGATTAGTGAGTTTTGGGAATTGGATGTTCTGACATTCAAAACCTGCTCTTCCCTTCCCAGAGTCAAGTGGCTTCACCCCCAAGATCTGCGTTTCTTCCAAAAGCTGTAATGACAGCATCTGCCTCCTGGATGCTGTTAGGCCAGAAGAAACCTGTACTAGTGGGAAGCTAAAGGCATGACACAGACTTGGGGGTCCTGGCAGCGCCACTCTGCACCAAAGAGAAATGTGACTTGGGTTAGAGACCCTCATGTCATATGCCCTCTCTGGGCTTGTGACAGGGGTCAGGCAGTCCACATGACATGGCTGCATGAGGACCTCTCTGCTCCAATGGGGGAGCGAAGAGCTGTCAGCAGGCAAACACACTGTCAGTGCTGGACTGTCCACATGTCCAGGTGGAGGGCAGTCAGCCCTCAGTCACACAGGTCTTTGGGGACCTCAGTGTGTGTGTGTGTGTGTCTGCATGTGCACATGCGCTCCAGAGGCTAGAAGGACCCTCTATGGGCTCCTGAAAGCCAGAATGCAAGAGTTTCCTCCAGACCTGGGGTGCCCGCTTAGCAGCACCCTGCGCACGCACTCAGCAGAAAACTCACAGAGGCTTGGGCGGGGGGGGGGGGGGGGGGGGGGTTGGGCAAAGGGCCACCAGGGCCAAGCCTTGAGTCTCTGCCTTGGTCACCCAGAGTTCAAAGCCCAAGCTACAAGCAGCCTGCTCCAGTGTCCAGGAGGTCCGGCGATGCACACGCCTGGAGATGCCCGACAACCTCTACACCTTCGTGCTGAAGGTGAGTGACACAGCTTTCCACACCCCGGGGCAACACCCTACCCCCCCAAAAAGGATCCCATACAGCCCTTCCTTCCCACCAGGTGAAGGACCGGACAGACATCATCTTTGAGGTGGGAGATGAGCAGCAGCTGAATTCATGGATGGCTGAGCTCCGGGAGTGTACAGGCCAAGGGTGAGGTGCCTCCAACTCTGCTCCTGGCACCGTTTCCCCTCCAACCCTGAGCTGCCCAGAGCCTTAACCCCAGCCTCTTCTCCAGCAGGCTGGAGAGCGTGGACCCGCACATTCCCTCAGCTCCCGAGCCCGGCACGTCCAGCTCATCAAGGGGCAGCACAGAGTCCCTGAACCAAGGTCAGTGGGTCTGGGCCCTGGTGCTGAGTATGTGTGAACCCAGCCTCATCCCAGGGTATAAGGTACCCACAAGGGGTCACCATTCCCCATCTTCTCTAGCAGGGGCTTCTCCTGGGGGGTTGCTGGACCCAGCCTGCCAGAAAACAGATCACTTCCTGTCCTGCTACCCCTGGTTCCATGGCCCCATCTCCCGAGTGAAGGCAGCTCAGCTGGTTCAGCTGCAGGGCCCTGACGCTCACGGAGTGTTCCTGGTACGGCAGAGTGAGACGCGGCGCGGGGAGTATGTGCTCACATTCAACTTCCAGGGCATAGCCAAGGTACGGGGCCAGACAAGTGGGGCTGTACCCCCACCCCAAGTTCAAGGTCCTGAGGGGCCACTGCCTGAGCCACCCCCTGCTCCCCCCACAGCACCTACGCCTGTCGCTGACTGAGCGGGGCCAGTGCCGAGTGCAGCACCTGCACTTCCCCTCGGTCATGGACATGCTCCACCACTTCCAGCGCTCACCCATCCCACTCGAGTGTGGAGCTGCCTGCGATGTCCGGCTGTCCAGCTACGTGGTCGTCGTCTCCCAGCCGCCAGGTGTGAGCCCGGTGCCCCCTGGTCAAGGGGGGTGGCCGGCCCAGGGACCCACAGAGGGTGGGGGCCCGCTGCAGACCCAGGGACTCGGAGACCTCGTTCTGTGTCCTCCCAGCACATCCCTGCCCTGGGAGCACTGACGGTCTGGTCTCTTTGTCACTTGGTCCCCAGGTTCCTCCAACACTGTCCTGTTCCCTTTCTCCCTCTCTCGCTGGGACTCAGAGCTGGGCCTCCCCCACCTCAGCTCCACCGGCTGTCCACGCGGGCCTGGCCCGGAGGGCCTCCCAGGCCGGTCCTCTCCCCCAGAGCAGATCTTCCACCTGGTGCCTTCACCTGAAGAGCTGGCCCACAGCCTGCGGCACCTGGAGCCGGAGCCCACCAGCCACGCCCGGGACTCAGACTATGACAGGGACTCCTCCTCCCGGAGCCACCTGCGGGCCATCGACAACCAGTACACACCTCTCTGACAGGCCCCACGGACGCGCTGGGGGAGCAAGCACAGTGAGCAGAGACAGGACTTGTGAATGTAACTGCCTTTCCTTCCTTTCAGAGAGAGTTAAGGAACCCTGTTACCTGTTCTTCCAGTCTGGACGTGACCCTTCCATTAGGCCTGTTGAAGGGCCTCTCTACGTTTCAGCCTGGCTTTCTCCTTATTGTTTACAGATGTAGTTCTTGTCCGCAGATGCCACTGGCTCCCGACCTGGGTCCCTGGGACCAGTCCCCATTACTCTTAGAGGAGGGGCGGGTGAGGGCCTGGCAGCGGAAACTTGTTCTCTTTTTCACTGACACTGTCATAGCTGATGACAGACTTTCCACTCGAGGGGAGGGGGGTCATCAGGAAGCCCAAAACACTAACCAGCCCTGGATTCTCCCGTGGTTTTCCCGTTGTAGCTTCACTGCACACGCGGTGCCCACCACAGGTGACCACACCTATCCTGCTTCGACACTCAGCCTTACGATTAAGTTCAACAATGATGTTAAACATTTTACCTCATAAATTTTTCAAAGGATTCAGGTTTGAAAACTAAACCAAGCATTGCTTATTTCGCTGCACTGTTCGAACTAACACCCAGGTTTCTGCAGTCGGAGACAGCTATGCAAACCCCACCTGACCAGTGCCCGGCCGAGCCAGCCGCTTGTCTACTGCATCCTCAGGACAGTCACCTGATTCCGAGCAGCCACTGTCCGTCCTAATGTACAGAAGTGAAGCGAGTCACCCTTTCAGGGGAATTCAGGCAGTTACTGAAATAGGGTGGCAAGTTATTGTTCCAGCCTGGTGCCTTATGAGTAAAAAACTGGATTCTGCTTCAAAGCAGCTTTAGGGTAGGAGTTAAAACTGAGGGGTGAGGGAGTGACAAGCACGAAGGCTCCTGGGCCTGTCTCGTAAACCCTTTACCAGCAGGGCCAGCCCAGAGCTCCCCAGCTAATGGCTTATTAAGTTATCTCGCTGAAGGTTTCCGGAGCCAAGATGGAAGCTAGGACTCCGAGCCACAGCGCTGCAGGGCCTCCTGTGACGGCCAGCACTCTGTCCCCGCTCCGCACCAGGAGGAACTTGGGCGCACATGTCCCCAGGGACCCTGGGGTACAGCCTCCTTCCTCCCAGACAAAGCTCTGTGATGGGGTGAGGGGGGACCCAGTGACAGAACGTGAAGTCAGCTGCTTCCAGGGCCAGCAGAGCCCTTCTACCGCCAGGTTCACTGAAGGGGCCTCTCGGAACTTGAGCCTAGGGAGTTCAGCATAGTTCTAATGTGTATCGATACACCCATCAGTCAGTCACAGGCTGAAGGTAAACCTTGGCCTAAAACTGCTGCCTGCTTTATCTGGGGTGAGGGTTTGGTCCGCTCCCTCCAGCTGCATTCTGTACTCTAAGAGGCCAGACTTTTGCTTCTAGAATTTAATTTTCTGTTTTTTCACTGGGGGGCAAGTATCCACCTCTTTACTTTTACTTTTACAACCAACATTCCTGGGTGTTTTCACAGGCTGTAAAGCAGATCCAACCCTGATCCAGATTTTTGGTCCATTTCTAAGGACAAATTTTCTACCCGACAAGCAGGTTTCTCTAAGTAATTAATGCTAAGCAAAGGGTAAACCAGATAACAGGCACTATTTTGAATTTCTCTTTTAAGAGAGAAAGCTCATCACAGAAAGTCAATGCTGACAAGTCACTGGTGCAGAAAAGGGGTCAAACCCTACCCACCACATCTGCGCTACGACATCTTCAAGCCGGGGCACTCACTTCTTAGTAACCATGCCACACAGAGTCCTCAGGCAGTGCCGAGAGGCACACAGACACAGTAGACGAGCAGCACTGACCCCTGGCTCCAAAGTCCAAGCTCAGACTGACAGAACTAGAAGTCACCCACCTGCAGGCTGCTTCCATGTGAAGTATTCACAAAAAGCATTTTTCCCTAAACATCCGAGTTGCCAGGACGACTCAAGTACATTCTGACAGAAAGCCCTGTCCTGACCTGGGAAGAAGTAACACCGAGCCCATGCCTCTCCCTGATGCTAGAGCAGGTCAGGGTGCACGAGAGGGAGCAGTGGGCCCCTTGGCTGGACGCCCTCACAGTGACCCTGCAGGTAGCAGCCAGCCCCCCAGCACGATAGCACATGCCGCCCTCCTTCCAGTCCTGACGTGACCACCGCTGGCAGCAAGAGGCCAAGGCTGCAGCCTCCGCTGAGAGCCCACGCTTGGTGCCAAAGGGACAGTGCACCGCGGTCCCGTCGGGTACCCCTGGTCACAGACGCCAAGGGGGGCCTGGCTGCCCTAGCACCACCACTCCCTTAGTCTGACTCTAACGGACTTTTACAAACTAACAGTCACCAGCACCAAAGAATTAAGTCAACTAACCTGCCTTGAATTTTAGACCAGCAATCCATATGGCTGTATCTGGTATAAATCTTCTGCCTTTGATCATTTCTGGACTGGGTAGGAAAAAGGAATAGCAATCGTTAAAATCTTAGACCAGAGAACACTATTTTTATATAACAGTTTCTTAACCTAAAGTCAAGGCCTTGAACTCTTCCCTTCCCTAAGGGTTGCCCGTGGTTTCTTCATGCTTGTTTTCATTCAGGGCTAAGTCTCTCATCAGAACTTCACATGAGCTCTGGCACCTCCCGCAGGAGCCTGCAGCACCTTACCCACCGCCTCTCCACAGGGACGCATCTGGCTCCAGTGTTTGGTTGGAATAAGAGCACATTGTAACAGCACAGAAAATGGGTTCATCTTGTACCATTATAGGCAGAAGGTCTTTGGCAAATTTTTACATATTGTTTTATGTACTGTATAAGTAACTTATTCTTGAATAATGCAAATTTTGCTATAGTGTACAAATTGCTAAATATGAATTAAAAAAAGTTTTCAGGATCTTGACTTGTTGCCAACAAAATTTAAAGGCTCCATCCATCACAACTCGGTCTCTCTAGAACCTGTGCCCTGCTCAACCACTTGCTGTCTCTCTGTCCTCCTCCCACAAGCTGGGGACATTCACAAATGCTTAGACACCTACAGTCACAAGCTACTCTGTACATCACTGCATCTTTTATGCCCTCTGGGTTTCTTTATCAAAGTTTTTTTCTTTTCTCCCCCCGCACCATCTGGTTTTTTAAAGTGAATTTTTATTTTTCAATTACAGTTGACATATGATATTAGTTTCAGGCAAATCTAAGATCACAGCTTTTTAAAACAGTATCTCCTGCCCCCTACTGGTAAAACAGATGCCTTAATCAGGACAACCGACTTAACACACACATTCATCCGGGTTCCAGAGATTCTAAAAAGGAAGCTTACAGAATCAGCGTCAGGCTGAGCATGTGGATTTCAGTGCTGCCCACCTTCCTCCTGAAGCAGATCTCTATCCACCAGAGAGAGTATCTCAGTCTTGTCTTTTTCTAGAGAAACCTTGAACCAGAACTAAAGGTGAAGAAGAAAAATCATTTGACAACTAACCTTCCACACTCAGCCCTCCTGCCTTGATATTAACTAGCAGCTTATACAAACACACACTAACTGGATATCAGTTTTTAAAACTTTTTTTATTTTTTGATTTTTTTTTAAAGTTTTTATTTTATATTATCTACAAAGTAAAAGTTTTTCCCTTAACTTAAAAGTTGAACCACTGTAGACAGTGATCACTTCATCAAACTTGATTTATAAATAATAATCCATCAGTTTGACGGTAAGAATTTACTGAAACTTTGTCAAGTTTAGTGGAAGGGTGTTCCAAGTCTTGATTTTTTTTTTTTTTTAGCAGTAATCGCAGCAAGAATCACTCTTGTTACTTTTGCTAGCTGATGTATTCATGACTTTTGAGGGTCATTAAAAAATAAATAACTTCCAGTTTCAGCAAGCAGAGCTGGGCACTTGCAGGACTCTGAAACAGCATATGGAAGTGTGGGAGAGCCCCCGAGTTCCTAAATGCCTCTACTCGGTCCAAGTATCTTCCACTGCAAGTGAACTGTTAGCATTCCTATCAGATGTTACAAGAAATCAACATATATTTTTAAAAAACAAAACAAGTGAAATTCTAGTTTTCTGTGCCTCCAGTTGGTAGAAGCAGGAGAAGGGAGGAGGGAGTTGGGCCTTTCGGTTCCTCCAGGGCAGCCTTACAACTGCTGCTGGTGGTGGGCTTGTACTGTAAAAGAGAAAAGTGAGTGTTTAAACAGAAGACTGGCAACACCGCACATCCGCCTAGTGTCTGCAGCACGTGACTGTGGACTATCCTTGTGCTAGCTGAACAAGACTCAGAATTCGGTTCACTCCCCCCCCCATCTGCACCAAAATGGGGAGGGGGTAGGTGGAAACAAACCAGTAAGACATAAAACCACTTCAGATAAAATTCCCAGAAGACTTGTTGCTCATGGGGTAGAAACAGGCCTTAACATACCCCCTCCCCAATGCTAGCCAACACCAGTACTGCTCTCAGAGGAACAGGTCAGACTGAAGCCTCACCATGGCAGCCATCAGTATTACAGCACCACCGCGGCCTTCTCTCCCTGTCAGGGCGTAGCTGGAGCTAACACTACTCTCAGAACCGATCCGCACACAGCGCTTTCTCAGCACTAGTTTTCTCCAGAGCTACAATCAGACTGTCCTGGTGGTCGCCCCCCACGTCAGACTTTGGGACTCAGGAAGGAGACGCTGCCCTGTCCAACCTGACATAAACAAGGACGGCCGACTGAGCCCTAGGGACCAGCTCCACAGAATAATGCTGCTGCTGCTGCTGCTGCTGCTGCTCAAGCCAAACCCTGTACCATCAGAACACACACAGACTCGGCTCCAGAAGCGTCAGGCCCTGGCACTGGCTGATTGTCACAGTCCCTACTGTGCACACTGACGGGTCTCGCTAGTTCTCAAATGCAGGGTTTGAAGCGCTGGCCCTGCCTGCCATTTGACCTGTGCGAGCAGAAATGCTTTGGGGTGCCCGGCGGCCCCTGCACACACACGCCTCACCTGAAGGGTGCGTCATATAGGGGAAATGCGCTGTTGTCGAGACTGGAATGGGCTGTAGTGCACTTTGAGCGAGGGCGGCCTGGGGACCGCCGGGTGGCTGTGTCGTCATTAGCATCATTGGCGCATGGGCAGTTGGATGAGAAGGAACCATTCCTGACTGTACATGAGCCTGAAACAGAGAGCTCTTTTACGCATACAGGCAACATCTCCAGCTTAAACAACATGTCAACTGTGTTCCTTTCACGGGGCTGGGGCTCTCAGGAAAAGGCAACAGTGGCCCTTGGGGCCGTTTCTCGGGGGACACTCCCTAGTAGAGCATAATTGACCTACAGACATGCTTTGCCCTTTAGCAGATCAACCCTGCAAGGCTGAGCGAGCAAGCGCCTGGAGAGCCTGGGGGGAACCAGGCTGCAGTGTCCTAGCCTTCAGCGCTCCTGATCACTGGATGCTACTTGTGAGGCATGGTCTTCACCAAGGTCAGGCCTCCGACCCAAGGGCCACGCGTTCAACTACAGAGACAAGATGTAATCATGCTTCAGAGTCTGGCTTCCGTGTGGGGCCTGAAGAAGTTTTACATAGGACAGAAAGCAGATCATTACCTTATGAGCAAGGACTGTCGAATTCTGTTCTATGGATGCTCTCCTTGTTTGCCCCCTCAACGCCCACCCCTCCACTTCTCGCCTGCTCACCAGCACACCTCAGTGAAGAATGAGTCAGGGCAATGAGAGAAGAGACTGGGCCCCCTCTACTCTGCTGAAAGATATGCTGATGCAGCAGCAGGAGGAGGAAGATGCAATGAATGGCTCCAGTGAGACAGGGAGGAGCAGTAAGACAGAACCCAGGCCAGCCCAATGTCCCTGTACCATGCGACAGTGAGTTCAACCTGGTCTCACTGTCAAGTCCAGAAGGTTCCTGTCAACCCAAACAGACAGACCTCAGTTTTGCAGGGACGTGGCAAGGCCAGGAAGAGCCATTCCCGTGCCTCCCGTGCCATGCACAATTCCACACCACGGTAAGCCTCGAGTGAAACGCTGTTTTTCATCATCTTACATATTCAAGTGGGCCCATGGCAAACCTGGGCTTTCCTGTGTTAATCCATTTTGCTCTTTCAGCCCAAGAACACAAAAGTGAGGTTTTTAGGAGTCCCAACCTACATGTAAATCCACATACCGACTCAGCCACCAGCCACTGCTAGACATCTACAGGCCCCAGCTCTCACAGAGCTCCTGATTCAGCCGAACGGGGCCGGCCCACACCTGACCAACGAGCACCCCTCCCGCCATCGAAAGCAGTCGGCCCCCGCAGTGCGCCACACTAAGCAACTCCCCAGAGCTGTGAAACTCTGACAAGGTCATCTGAGAGCGCCAACCGAGTCGCACCTCCAGCCCCTACCACGCCAGAGCCTCGGTGGCACGCTGTGTCACATGACATGGAGTTCAGCAAGGCAGTCTAGCTCAGGCCCACCTACATGCTGTTGTGAGAGCGGCAAAGAGGGACACTGAATACACAGCAGATTCACCCTTCACACTTCCGGGGCGGACCTCACGGACAGCGCTAGAGCCCGGCTTCGGTGTGGCTCCAACTCCTCATTAAGATAATCCAACTTGGCCCTGGATTGCACTGGACTTGTGTCAGCTGCTGATGCAGACAGCAGCCACTGCGATGGCCACCACACCTCTCCCCCATTAGAAGCTGACACGGGGTGAGCTCCGGAGTGCACCCAGGGCTGCTCAGTAGAAAAAGGAAGACCGGGTGCTTGCGGCTTCTAGTTATGCTGCCCCAATGTACAAGGCCAAGCCTTTCCAAGAAGTACAACACGGAGTCAAAGCAGATGCGTGGGTGACCGGAGAAAACAAGAGGAAAGGCTCCTCTGGGACTCATGTGACTAACACGCGGGCTGGCAGGCCCAGGGCAGTCAGAGGGTTAGAAACTTGTTCTGGTCCACCCTCCCTGCCACGCTTTCTGCGTGTGTGCATGTGTGAGCGCATGAGAGATTATATATATGTATGTCTACATACATACATACATACATATATATATATATATATCTCAATGAAGCTATTTAAACACAGCGAAAGCAGACACAGGAAGGAAAGGAGGACTGGGTTGCATTCCAAAGTCAAAGATATTGATACACTCTCAGCTGGGAAACGTTAAAGGAACTGCCCATTCAGCAACTTCACTGATCCCATTACAAAACCACACGAACATCCATGTAGGGCCAGATGACATGTATTTGAGCGGGAAAAAAGAGACAGGCAAACCACACACAGGGTTTCCTAGCTTGGAGAGCATCTGGCTCTGCTGCTTATCTGGTAACCTTCACACTCTGCCTGGTCTTTACAGAAAGTTGCCTAAAGCTGGTTTACCTGAGGTACGTGGGCCATATGGGGTGGGTTGGTGTATGCCGGCTGGACATGAGAAGGATGAATTGTAAAGACGGTCTGTTGTGCTGCTGGGAAACTACTCTGTGGCGACTGCGTATTGGAGGCGGGTGTCATGGAAGGTGGGGTTGGAGCGAGCCCCGCGTGGTAAATGGCTGACTGCTGCTGTGGACCGGCCAGATGGAGAGCCTGTGCGGCCTGGTGCTGATGGTGCTGCAAAGGGACAGGACAGGATGAGGAAGACCGCTCCTTCAACGAAAAGCAGCGAAGGGTCTCACACACACAGCTGAGCTTTGTGCATGGAAAAGCTCCCCCGCCACGGCCCGTCTAAGATGAGGGGCAATGGCCAGCACAGAGGACGTACAGGGTGGTCGGAGCAGGGTGGGACCCACTCAGAGACCTCCTTTCTGGGGTAAAAGCCCCATTCTCAGCCTGGCAGTTATAAACCCTCAACCAAAAGCACGAATAATGCCCCAGGGAACTGACAGATGTCAGAGATCCTTACCTTGGGTAATGATTTAAGAAACTAATAGGAAAAAACACTTATCATATACACATTAGGAATGGAATGGAAAAATAAAGTCCCAAGCAAATTTCTTGTTCCATGGTAAATTAGATTTTTCATTACTGATGTTTCCAGAACTCAATCATCTAATTCTTAACATGTACCTTACTGTGCCTGAAAACCAACCCCGGGGACACAGCCTGCAGAGCTGTGCGACGGCTGTGGGGGGGGGGTTTTGATCGTGTGCTGCCTGGCTGCTGCAGGGCGCTCTCAGCAAGGAGAAGAGGAAGCAGTGCCCAAAGGCCTCTGAGCCTCTCCTTACCTGAACAGGACTGGGTGCAGGGTGACTTCCGCCGTGCTGGCTTTGCTGCTGTCCGGTGGGGGTGGCTGAAGGCTGAGGATGTGGAGTATGTGGGTGCAGGGTAGCATTAGGGTGTGCGTACTGCTGAGCAAGGGAGCCGGTAGAAACTGGAGTGGAAGAAAAAATGCAGGGTGTACAATTGACACCTGATGATCTTAACAGACCCTCTACACCTCAGCTACTGAGTTTCGTGAAGCTCAAGGCCTAACTTACGCTGTTACCACCAATCTCTATACTTGACTCCATTCAAACCATCAATTTCCATAAAAAAATAAGTGATGTTATTTCTTAATATTAGACTAGCATTTATTCACATAACATAACTGTACACTTTACATTAAAATCTAATTGGTCTAACTGGTTTAAATTTACTCAACATAACTAGATTTTCCTGAAAAGGTAAAATAAGCATAAACACTTCAAACAACCCCTCTCTCTCTCTCTCTCACACACACACACACTCTCTCTCTCACACACACACACACACACACACACTTTTGCTCTGTCTCTAGCTCAAGGCCGTCATCTGGCTAACCTCACCATGCTACTGCCCTGGAGCTGGTGCTGTGTCCCGTGGGCACAGACTGTATTGGGGCTGGGGATAAGGGACTGGATCAGGTATGTGGCAAGGTCAAGGTTTTATCTTTAGGGTCAACGACCACAATTTTTCTCAGCTTATCACAGAAGCCACCTCGGCTCTCCCTGTTCCAGGATCTATCACCTTGCTTTATAAAATCTAGTACATAGAATTATCTGAACTATGTAGAAAAGGGAACTCTCTCCAAAAGCATTTCAGCCTTTAGAAAGAATTTTACTAGTAAGAGTAACCTCAAAGGAAACATGAGGAGCCACTTTATGTAACATGTTCATTAAAGATAAGAATGCAAAGCCAATTCTTTGTGAATCTCAGCATGGACCATACCTTGGTAATAAAACAAGGAGATTAGGTATAAATGCATTTATTCATGTCTTCCCAAAGCAGCAATTTCAGAATCAAAAGTATAGAATCAAAAGATGGGTCCACTGTGTCCAGTGACTATCAACAGCACACTGATACAAAACAAACCACGATGGAGCAATGAGCTGAGGTCGGTGTTCCAGCAGCCCACGACTCTCAGCCTTGTCTACAATCACTGCTCAAGTCCTTAAAAAGCTAAGCCCAAATGTATACAGATACAGAGGGAGCTGATGGGGACAAGCAAGTACCACTTTGGGACCAGGCACCCTAACTTCAGCAAGCTAGAGGGCAAGGCTGCTGAGGACTATTATCAGAGTAAGGGGGTGTCACTCAGAGGGTTGAGCACACACAGCAGTTCTGTAATGCCCGGCATTGCGGGGCCAAGGGCCACCAACACTCTAGCCCAACTGCTATCTCCCCAACCTTGTGTATCTTTTAAAAGAGGAAAGGACAAGGTAAAGAGTCAGTGCTAGGATCACCTGTGCATCCACTGCCAAGGCCACAGCGGGTGTCAACGCTCAGATTAGATTAAACAGAGGGCGCACCTGCGTTCCAACCCTGGGACAGCTCCCTGACTTGTGCGAGTTCACACACACTGAGACACAGTCACAGGATGACTGTGGCAACACAGTCACTGAGTGTTTTTTCTTTCCTTTAAGAAAAAGTTTTCATTTAAACATTTTCAGTATAAGTTGGTGTTTTTAAGAAGTGACTATTTTCTGGGAGCTAGGAAAAATAATGCACTAACTGTGCTAGACTCGTTGTGCCCTGAGTCTATGAAAGCAGTCAGAGACTTCAACTTCACTGGCTCATTAAAAGGCCATTCTTCACCATCATGTTCATAAACTTTCTGATCCCCCAAACTGTCTAGGCAATGACTTAAGTCTGAAATATGTGACATAAATATTGAATCTTATTTTTCAAATTTAAGTGACTAAAACAGCCACCCACACATAGCTAGTCAATGGTCAGACAGCACAATTCCACCACCACAGAAAGTTCTACTGGACAGGGTGTCGGTGTCTAGGGTCCTTCCTGCGCCCTCATTTTCAAACCCTTAGTATTAAAATATTTCCTACCTCCAAGCTTCTTAAATGTTTTATTTGTAGCAATACTAAATCTGGGCAAAAGCAATTCTCGAGTCCCACAGTCTATTTATGAGGTTTCATGAAGTAGAGAATCTCAGGGTTTCTTTTTTTTTAAAGTTTATTTGTTCAAGAAATTTTTGTACTAACGTTTAGATTTCACTTTTAATTATCTTATAACCAAAGTATTAAGAAAATAAGTAACAACAACAACAACAAAAACGCCCATCCTTCCCCTACTCTAAACACCAGGAAACTACAATGTCCTATAAGAAAAACTAAGCAGATATAATATACGGGTCTCAAGCAGCAAATAAAATTTAAGGCAGCTAACTGGAAATATTTTCCTTTGTTCATCTTCTTGCTTAAGAGACATAAAGCAAGTACATTGTCCAGGAACCACTTTTCCTCCTCAAATACACAAATGGAATGGATGGCTAATTAAGTCAATACTAAACAACAAAATATAGTTTGGTTCCTTGAAAGGCCAGAAGAATGAGACCAAAAAAAAAAAAAAAAAAGTGGGATAGAAGGAAAATTAAAAGGCTGGGAACAGGGGGAGTTGGAAGAAAAGAAAAGAGGCAAGAGGAAGGAACCAATATAGAGTAAATAAGAAAAAAATAAAAGAGGATCAGGGAATAAGAAGTGGAGAGCAAAGAGCAGTAAGTTCTGATCTTCGAGAAGTGTTATTATTTCGCCCTGGCTGGCGTAGCTCGGTGGATTGAGTGCTGGCCTGTGAACCAAAGGATCATGGTTCAATTCCCAGTCAGGGCACATGCCTGGGTTGCGGGCCAGTTCCCAGCAGGGGACACACAAGAGGCAACCATACATTGATATTTCTCTCCCTCTCTCCTTCCCTTCTTCTCTAAAGATAAATAAATAAAATCTTGAAAAAAAAGTGTATCATTTAACCGCTTTTATTACATACTCATTAATTTAGCTATAAAGACTTCAGACAGGTTAACGATAAATTGAATTTTCTTCAAAAGTCTGACTTAGCTATTCATCAGTTAAACTCCTGTTTATAAAACTTAATTTGCCTCCATGAAACCTGGATTAGGTCAAGCAAATCAAAGAGGTACTAGCCAGACCTTGTCCAGAAGTTTCCTACTTGTTGTGTTCCTTGAAATAAATGCTTAAAAGTCTAAATACAGGATTTTAAAAATCCTCCTAACCACATTCCAAAAATAGTTTCCTAAGCCATGATCTTACTGAAGTCAATTCAGTCCATAAAGCTAGCTGTGTGTTTTCGTTTATAAGTAGATTTTTAATTTTGACCTTGGATGCACAAGTCATGAGGGGTCACCAGCACTGCAAAGCTTTAAAAAGAAAACAAAGCAAAACAAAATCTTCCAACTTTTAAATTTGGTGTTAAATTTAGAAAGATGAAGAGAACGACGGTCGAAAACTATTCAAAGGGGAGTAGAAGGCAACTGGACCAAATCATGACCAAAGGGCTCAGAAAGGGGACGGGGTAGGGAGAGGGGAGTTCAAGCAGCAAATTAAATGACAAACAGTAGCCCCACTGTTCGTTTCTTTTAAAAAGTGCTGATATTCATTTTTAAGGGAAGTTGTACTAAGGCAGTTAATGCTTAGGTGTGATGATTAAGGACCTTTCAGCTTACTTACCAGGAAACGGCTCCAAACTAACAGAGACAGTAAGATGGTGAGGGTAACTACATCTGAGACCTCAAACTGTGTGCACAAAATATGAATTCCTGACACTGTCTTTTACATACTGTATCACACACATAGTTTCCCTTGAGTAGTATTTATATACAGCAAGACTCCTTTTTAAAGAGTATCTATTAAAGGATTAAATTTGTTAACATTTCCTAGCACCACATAAATAATATTGATACACTTATTTTTGGATACCAAGTCATGGCATAATTAATAAAAATTTTAAGTCAAAATGTTTTCTAAATGCTTTTTGAAATCTGGCATTTAGTAGATTCAGACAGTGAGTCATTCAAAAATAACTCAAAATTTAGTCTCTAAAATAAAATTTTAATCCTTAATATCCTGGAGAATATAGTATTTCACATAAAGTGACACATTACTGGCATAAATTTTAAACAAATTTGTGCAAGTTAGTACTGTTCCTATTCAAATACCAAAAGTCCATGACTAGCTTTATTTAAAAACTGACCTACAAATAGAGAAAACACACCTTACAAGTTCACTTCCAAAAGAAAGCTCTGTCCAGACTTTCTGCCTTTAGGAGCAGTCATTTGCCTTTTCACTGGTGGTGAGAGGGGCCGGTGCTGCCAAGACAATCTCTGGTGGGTCATGCTTTCCTGCTTAAACCCAAATATTTTAAACCTTCAGTCATGCAAAGACTAAAAAGACAGAAATGTTTCTCCCTTAGTTTTTCAACCCTATTCAATTCAACATCCTGGGAAGAATGAACTTCTTACCAGGACAATAAAAAAACCTAACTTTTAAAAGTTTTTTTTTTTAAATACTAAGTTTGTGGCTTGGTTTAAAAAAAAAAAAAAGGCTATTTAGGAAAAGCGTCTCACATATGGAAAATATCAGACATTTCCAAAAGTCACATGTTTGCTTGGTATGCAAAAATTGATTTCTGAAACAACTCAATTTTTAAACTCCAGCTTTCTTAAGCTGGGTTGTATTTTCTTTTTTAAAACTCTGAATTATTTACAGATATATTTTTAGTAATTTTGTCTGGCACAGGAAAATACCGCTCAACAAGTCTACTATTCCCTTAACACGTATTCTTTAAAAAGTGTTTTACTGTTCAATTAAAATTAGTATAAAAAACCCAACTCACTGGCAAAGTAGAAAGAAGGGCTTGTCTCCTTGCTGTATGGTAATTTGGGACATGCTGAATTTGGGAAATAGAAAGGTAAATTAGCCTTCTGAGGTCTGCATTTTCCTAATTTTCTGGAAAGGTCGACATATTTAGTCATTTCTTTTTGTATCCATGCATAATTCATTATTCTTATTTCACAAGACATGGCAAGCACTTTAAACACTGCTATGAAAAACTAAGTAAGATAGGGCTGAACGAAAAGACACTTTTCTTCTGTGCACTGAAGTGTCAAGTTCTGCAGGCTGACTTGCTTAAAAGGAATAAAATTATTATCTAATAAACAAAGCAACACAGTACTCCACTGATTAACCTGGATACCAAAAATGTACCAAAATAAAATAATATTTAGCAAGTTTAATTCAAAAGACAAACAATTTTGCACATCACTATTAATATGTCATTATTCTGTAAGATGTTTATCAGGCATTTGGTAGCGGATCCAAAAATTCAGAAATGTAGTAACAGCAATATTAAGCATGGGTGCAATACTGTTTTTACTGAAATGACTGCACGGGGGTGGTGTGTGTCTGTGTGTGTGCACGCGCACTCGGAAGGACCCGCACCCAAACATTAACAGATGTTGTTGGGGGCGGGGTAATAGGTGCCATTTTAAACCTTTTTGCCTACTTCTTTTCTAATTTATCTGCATTTAACTACCAAAAACAAACCAAAGAAGATTCTAGATCTAACTCTTCCTGATGGCTTTACATAGAAGAAGTTCCATTATTACTATTTGTGAAAGGGAAAACACCACCACCATAAAATGAAGCAGATGAATTAGAAAACTAGATGTTAAGGAGGGAAGAAAGGGACTTCTTTGGAGGGAGGGCACAGAGGCAATGATGAAAGTCAGATTAGGGTCAAAGAGCTGAAGTCTGTGATCAAAGTCCTCTCTAAGATAGCTACTAGAATGTATACATGTATCTTCTAATAATTAAACTGTTTGGTAATCTGTTAGCATATTTATATTAAATACACCAAAAATGTAAAAACAGTATCAGTCCTTCATTTCACAGTTATTAGTGGTCCTTTCTATTCTCAAAGCCTTTACTATGACCCCATCAATTAACTGTCACCAACATCTGGGTGCGTATTCCTTTGTTTACATAAAAAGCTTTAAAAATCTATAGAAAGGATATAGCTTAAAAAGAAACAATTCATACTCAAAATATTTGGTTCCTTTCGATAAATTGTTCAAGGAGGATGAGTATATCATTAGTATTTCTACACAACAGTTTCATCTTAGTTTGAAATAATGTACTTAAAATTTGTATTTGTTAAAAATCTGTATTTGGCATACGTAGGATTTAGAATATTTAAAATAATCAAAATAAGTTACTGAAGTATCCAGTGAATTTACCTTAGCAGATTAAATTACGGTTTATGACAGCAAAGAACAAAGTAATTCCCTAGTGTTTTCAAGGTATGAAGTATCCAAATGAACCTCAAGTCGTCAGCAAAAATCATACTAAATGCACAGCCTTGCTCTAGCCAGCCTCGTCAATAGACATCAATTAAATACAACCTGTGTAAATTGTGGGAGAGTCATTAGTATTTCGTTGAGTAACTTTCTCCTGGCATTAAGGAACTGGCTTTGATGGCTAGTAAATTAAGTTCAGTGTTTCGCTCTGTTTGCAACATTTCCTATTTACCCATACTTGAAAGGACTTCAGGGTCCAAGGTCAAGTGTTTTTCAAATGAAATGTTCTGGGAAAGTAGTTATAAAAACCACTAGTACTTCAAATAACAGTATTTATTGCACAGACTGCTTCAGATCGGTGAGGCTATTTCCACCAATGAACATCCATCCGAAAGACAAAGCCAGATGCTGGCACCGAGGAAAAAGGCCCTGCTCAGCACCACAGCATCACTACAGACCTTCAGAACCAGGGTGCACAAGAGCTGCTCCCTGAAAGCCAGGGAGGCTTTAGCTCATGAGTTTCAGATCTTAGTCCAAGAGGAGTATGCCAGAAAATGGAAATACATCGTTTTTCCACTCGTTATATCATGATGTATTCACCAGAAATAAAAAACAATAATAATGAACTTTTCACCTAAGCCTTTAGCAAACTAAAAAACTGTTGAAATGTGTACAAACTGCATAAAAACCAATGTGAGGAATCAATGGTGCTTTTTCATACATACTCAGTCCTGGTGACGACAACTAAGGACAAGCCAACGACAGATCATAACCAAAATCGTAAGTCAAATCAGTCTGTCCGTATATATATATTTTTAATTTATTCATTTTTAGGGAGAGAGAGAAAGAGAAATTTGTTGTTCCACTTATTTATGCATTCACTGTTTGGTTCTTGTATGTGCTCTGACTGGGGATCAAACCAACACAACCTTGGGGTTTCAGGACAATGCTGTAACCAACCAAGTTCCTGGCCAGGACTACATTCTTCTTCTTTTTAAAAAGATTTTATTTATTTGTTTTAGAGAGATGGGAAGGGAGAAAGAAAGTGAGGGAGAGAAACATCGATGTGCAAGAAATACATCTATTTGTTGCTTCTTGCACATCCCCAACTGGGCGCCTGGCCTGCAACCCAGGTATGCACCCTGACCGGGAATTGAACTTGAGATGTTTTGGTTCATAGGCCAGCGCTCAATCCACTGAGCCACCCTAGCCAGGACTGCACTACATTCTTGAGAGAAATGTAGTCATTATATCATTTTTATCTAAAGGGCATAATCTACAATAGAAGGTCTGAAGTGATACTGTAGAAAATTAAAGTCAGACCTAAGCATTCTGTAAAATTAGTCACAGCCCTTCCTGAGCCTGTGGGGCAGGAGCCCACCTCCAGGAAGAGAGCAGACACGCCGGGTGATGGGTGCCAGGAAGGGTGAGTGCGGCTGCCCGAGTCCCATGAGTCCCATTCCTGCTCACCTACTAATGTTAGAAACTTTTATGTAAAGTTAAAAAACCTTTACACTCTTAGTCATTCAAAAAGTTTACAAGAGGTTTTAAAAAATGAAATGTCCATGTAGTTACATGTGACTGTGATTTCATTCTCACAGTGGTTACTCTTTTCAAATCTCTCTCCCCTCACTCCAAAAAACTGAGATGCCAAATCCTAAATGACAGTATGGGAGTTCTCGGCAAAGTGAAAAACAACACCTACATCTTAATAAAACTGGTACTAAAAGTATATGTTAAAACCATAAATATGGTCAAATCCATGAATTCTATATTACACAAGATATAAGTGGAGTTCTTGTTTCAAATTCTCAACACTGAAAACCACATTATTTGAGAACTTCAGACAGCTGCTAAACTGACCTGTACAAAGTTCTCTGCCTATAATATTAAGGTGTAACTTTTGCTTATTATTAATTAGTCTTATATGCATTTAGTTTTACACACAATACTAGTCATTTTCATCTTACCACTGTTTATACTTAAAGTGTAAATGTTTAAAGCAGATCTACTATTACATAAAACCGACCAGTTAAAATACAGCATGATGCAGAAAACGGTAACATTATAGAGAACAGCAGTGAGACTATGTGACACCAGGAAGCCCCAGAGCAAGAGGTGGAAAGTGCTGGAGAGCGCTTTCATCAGTCAAACTTTCCCGCATGCCTTGCACAGGGCGCAGCAAATGACAACGCTGATGAGAAGAGGCGAAAGGCACCTTTCTCCACAGAAGATGCTGTTCCACACGCCACTACACTTACGTACAGGAGAGACATTTGAACAGAGGACTTTCAGGACAGAAGTCATTATTAGCCAAAGACTTAAAAAAGCAAGTAAGAGATGGAAATGGGCCCATCTTTTCTTTCATTTCTTTACCTTCAATGTCATAGAAGGCCAAGTTATTCCTAAAAAGAGTATCTTTTCAGAGCTTAAAACAAATTAAGAATTGTCAGTCACATGCTAAAAAAGACAAAGTGCTTCCTACCATACATTGCATGCGTCTGCTCGTGGGCCCCGTACTGCGCTGCTGAAGAAGATACTAAACCAGGCTGGGCGTGTGCTGCCGGTGCCATCATTCTAGCGTTACCCTGTATTACAGGACTGTAGACATGAGGATGCTGTGTTCAAAGAAGAATAAAGAAGAAACATTCAAGTATCAAACAGACTCACTCAAGCAGATTTTAGTTAGATGTTTTAACTTCACAGTGTCCACATTTCCAAAACACTCTGAAAAATCTTAAACTTGCCTTGGCTATTTCTTTCGAAATACTTAAAATAATCGGCAACCTTCTAATATATATTAAAAAACCCCTTCCCAATCCTGTTATCAACCACAGAATTTAAAAATGACAGATACAAAGAAAAAAACTCTATTAAAAGTTCAAATTAAAGGTTATTTAGCCTTGACCGGTGTGGCTGTATTGGTTGGGCGTTGTCCCACAAAGCAAAAGGTCGCTGGTTTGATTCCCAGTCAGGTCGCACGGGTTGCAGGTTTGGCTCCTGGTCGGGTTGGGGTGCTTATGAGAAGCAACTGATCAGTGTTTCTCGTATTGCAGTTTCTCTCCCCCTTCCTCCCTCCCTTCCCCTCTCTCTAAAGATAAACAAATAAAAAGCTTTTTTTTTTTTTAAATATTTTATTTATTTTCAGAGAGAGAGGAAGGGAAGGAGAAAGAGCAGGAGAGAAACATCAATGTATGGTTGCCTCTCATGTGTCCCCTACTGGGAACTGGCCTGCAACCCAGGCATGTGCCCTGACTGGGAATCAAACCGCGCTCACATGGTTCGCAGGCCCGCGCTCAATCCACTGAGCTACGCCAGCCAGGGCAAATAAAAAGCTTTAAAAAAATTGAAAGTTATGTGAATGGAACAGAAATGAGGAGTTAGGTGCCATCAGCCTTACCTGCGACTGATAATGTGGCACGTGCTGAACGAGAGGCTGATTTGGAAACTGCTGAGGACTGTAGGCAACATACTGTGTGGAATACGCTGGTGGGGTGGCTACGATCGGAGGGCCTGCTGCCGAGGCTGGGTGCATCATGGTGCTCTGATGATGCTGGTCTTGCCGCTGTTGGGGCATATTTGGTACTGCAGAAAAAGACAGCTCCGTATGAGAAAACGGCATCTCTGTGGTACGAATGCATGAACATGGTCCATGTTCCTCCTCTGCAGGATGTGACCCTCCTGCTTGCCTCTCCAATGCTATGTTACATGACTCCCGCCACCGCTTCAGCCATTCTGGGTTGCTTTCCTATACACATGCTATTCCTGAGCCCCAAGCACCGATTCCCACTCCCAGCGTTGATAATTCTGACTCTTTCTTCAGGAGCCAGTTTGAAAGCAACTTCCTTAGACCCCCTTTATGATGGTGCCAAACTGGATCAACCTATGAAACGTTTCCTTCAGACTACTTCTCAGATAATCCCTGTCTTATAATAGCAAACCATGCCACTTGCTAAAGGCATTGAATTTATTCAAAAACAAACAAACTCATAACAAAAAAGCCAAAATAGATCCAACATTAATCTTAACTCCATCTTTCTTTGCTTTGCAGGCCCATGCTCAATCCACTGAGCTACACCAGCCAGGGCTTTTAATTCCATCTTTCTTAACTTCCCACCACTGAACTCTCTCCAGTCATGTCTTGCTCTTTCTCCAACACAGAATCACATGCTATCATGTAGCAGGTGTCCAAATAACTTTTATTTTATTTCTTTAAAGATTTTATTTATTTATCTTTAGAGGGAAAGGGAAGGAGAGAAATATCAATGTATGGTTGCCTCTCATGAGTCCCCTGCTAGGAACTGGCCTGCAACTCAGGCATGTGCCCTGACTGGGAATCAAACCGCGATCGTGTGGTTTGCAGGCCCACACTCAGTCCACTGAGCTACACCAGCCAGGGCCAAAATAACTCTTTTAAAAAATTACTTTATGTCCACACAGATTCTGCTCTGGTCCTCCCCCTGTTAAAGCTGAAATTGAGATTTTTGCTCCCATGTCATTTTCTCTATAATGTTCTTTCCAGTTTCCAAGCTCTGTGTACCCTTTCCTCACACATCAATTGTAGCACTGACTGTTTTATGTGTTGAGTTTATGGTGTGATAGTAAATAAGTCACTTGAGGGAAGGAATCACAAGCCACGGCTTACATCAGGTATGGGGCACAAAAAAGTGTAACAACTTAGTATGTTCATAAAATCATCAGAACTATATAAGTAGCTGGTAGTTTAGATATAGAACTTGGTTATTTTAAATATTTGAAATTCTTTGTTAAAAATGCATTAATTGCTTTTGAAAGTTCAGAAAGCCCTTTATATAGTTTTATTTACTTAGAAAAGCAAGCTGTTAACAGAAGAAACCAATACAATAAATATTTTTCTGAATTTAATCTTGAGATTCCTCATATCAAAAAAGCATCTCCTTTTAGTAAAGACACCTCAAAATCAAGCATCATTTTTATCAAATGAAAGTTTGTGTGATTAAGTTCACTGAGTCTCCCTGGCTGGTGTGGCTCAGTGGATTGAGCACTGGTCTGCAAACCAAAGAGTTACAGGTTCAATTCCCAGTCTGGGCACATGCTTGGGTTGCCAGCCAGGTTCCTCAGTTGGGGGCATGCAAGAGGCAACCAATCAGTGTATCTCTTCACACTAAAGTATCTCCTCTCTCTAAAAAGTAAATAAACTCTTAAAAAAAGAAAAAAGTTCAACTATACAAATCTTTTGCTCTTTCTCTTGGTTTTATAATTGAGATAGAGGAATTTTAATTATATTTTGGATGTAAATTAAAAAAAAAAATTTATTTATTTATCTTTAGAAGGGAAGGGAAGGAGAGGAGGAGGGAAATACCAATGTATGGTTGTTTCTGGTGCATCCCCTGCTGGGAACTGGCCTGCAACCTAGGCATGTGCCCTGACAGGGAATCGAACCATGATCTTTTGGTTCGCAGGCCCGTGCTCAATCCACTGAGCTATACCAACCAGGGCCAAAATAGTTTTTTTGATAGAAATATTCCAGCTAATAATTGAGGAAGGATGACAGAGGTTGTCATCATGTGCGACTCAATGAGATAATGGCTCTAGGCCTAGACAACTGTCATCAATGGCTGCTAAAACCAACATGGGAGACCTGGTAGGAAATGTTTGGTCAGGTTACTCCTGCTATCACAAAAAAGAGATGACAAGACATTATATGACTCCTAATGAAAATATACACACTATCCATAAAACAGTCCAGATTAAGTTTTAAAAAAATACAACCTAATCTTATCTAATAACAGTTTATAAAGAGACAGAGGGTCACTTTAAACAGAATTGCACAGGATGCAATCCACAAAATCGAGATGATGGAAAAGAACACAGGAAAAAATAAGCTGGATTTACATAAAATGTTAAGGGAAAACACTCTAGGGAAAATTACAAATCAAGAAAGACTTATTAAGAGAGCTACTATTGTCAATTAAATGAACAGCATGGACTTTGGATTATGGTTCAAGAAGCCAAGTATTAAAAAATGTGTAAGACAGTAAGGCAAATTTGTACTCTCGATATTTGATGAGCAAGAAATAATTGCTGGTATTTTCAGGTGTGAATAATGGTACCATAATTACTTAATGGTAAAATTACCATTAAGTAATTTTAAAAAGAGTATAGACTTCCAGCCAAGATGGAGGCGTAGGCAGATACGCTTTGTCTCTTTCCACAACCAAAAGAAGGACAACAAATTTAAAAACAAAAACAACCAGAACTGTCAGAAATTTGACCTGTATGGAAGTTCAACAACCAGGGAATTAAAGAAGAAACATTCATTCAGACTGGCAGGAGGGGGGTGGAGAGGAGCAGCTGGGGCAGCTGGAGGGTTGGGAAGTCCCACGTTTGTGTGCAGATAAACCAGGAGGAACAACCAGGGAATGAGACAGACCATGCGACCCAGAGTTCCAGTTTGGGAAAAGAAAGTCCCAAAACTTCTGGCTATAGAAACCTGTGGGGGTTGCAGTGGCAGGAGAAACTCCCAACCTCACAGGAGAGTTTGCTGGAGAGACCCACAGTGTCCTAGAACGTACACAAGCTTGCCCACCTGGGAATCAGCACCAGCAGAGCCCAATTTGCTTGTGGGAAGTGAGGGAAGTGACTGAAAGCTGCCGAGAACTGAGCAAGCAGCACGGTTCCCTGTCAGACCCCTCCCCACAGACAGCACCACACACAAAGCAGCAGTGTGGGTTACCCCGTTGCAGTGAATACCTAAGGCTACTACATAACAGGTGTGCCTGCAAGACAGATTTTTGGCCCAAATGAAAGAATACATCAAAACTCCCAAAACAGAACTAAGCGATGAAGAGATAGCCAACCTATCAAATGCAGAGTTCTAAACAATGGTGATCAGGATACTCACAAAAATGGTTGAATATGGTTGCAAAATAGATGAAAAAGTGAAGGCTATGAAGAGTGAAATAAAGGAAAATGCACAGAAAACCAACAGTGAAGGAAGGAAACCGAGACTCAAATCAATGATTTGGAGCAGTTCAAGGAAGAAATAAACATTCAACCATAACAAGTAAAGAAACAAGAATTCAAAAAAATGAGCAAAGGCTTAGGAACCTCCAGGACAACTTTAAACATTCCAAAATCCAAATCACAGGGGTCCCAGAAGAAAGGGAAGAACAAGAAATTGAAAACTTATTTGAACAAATAATGAAGAACTTTCCCATTCTGGCAAAAGAAATAGACTTCTAGGAAGTCCAGGAAGCTCACAGTCCCAAAGAGGTTGGACCCAAGGAAGCACACAGCAAGGCATATCATAATTACATTACCCAAGATTAGGGTAAGAAGAGAATCTTAAAAAGCAGCAAGAGAAAAGGAAACAGTTATCTTCAAAGGAGTTCTCCATAAGACTATCAGCTGATTTCTCAAAAGAAATTTTGCAGGCAAGAAGGTGCTGGAAAGAAGTATTCAAAATCATCAAAGGCAAGGCCTACATTCAAGATTACTCTATCCAGCAAAGTGATCATTTAGAATGGGAGTGCAGTTAAAGTGCTTCCCAGACAAGGTCAAGTTAAAGGAGTTCATCATCACCAAGCCCTTATTATATAAAATGTTAAAGGGACTTATCTAAGAAAAAGAAGATTACGACTATGAACAGTAAAATGATAACAAACTCACAATTATCACCAACTGAACCTAAAAAAAAACCTAAACAAACAACTAGAACAGGAACAGAATTACAGAAATGGAGATCATATGGAAGGTTATCAGTGGGGAAGTAGGTGGTGGGAAAATGGTGGAAAGGGTACAGGGAGTAAGAAGCATAAATGTTAGATACAAAATAGACAGGGGGAGGTTAAGAATAGTATAGGAAATGGAGAAGCCAAAGAACTTATATGAACAACCCACAGACATGAACTAAAGGGGAGGGGGAGCTGGTGCAAGGAGGGTGGAGGGGAATAAAAAGGAGAAAAAAATGGGACAGTTATAATAGCATAATCAATAAAATATACTTTTGCTGTGGCTGGTGTGGCTCAGTGGATTGAGCATGGGCCTGTGAAGCAAAGGGTCACAGGTTCGATTCCCAGTCGAGGCACATGCCTGGGTTGTGGGCCAGGTTCCTGGGCCCGTGTGTGTGTGTGTGGGGGGGGGGGGGGCCGCACGCGCACATGAGAGGCAACTACACACTGATGTTTCTCTCCCTCTCTTCCTTCCGTCTAAAAATAAATTTTAAAAATCTTAAAATAAATAAAAATATATACTTAAAATAAAAAAGAGTGTAACTCTTGAAGATACACACTGAAATACACACTGAAATACTTGAAGATACACACTTGCTAAAGTCTTTGTAAAGAGTTAGCGCTTTCTGGTGCAACATGTCCATCAGAACACATTTTCTGTTCATATCTTCCCATTACAAAATTAATGCCTTTCCCATCTTAACACTTATCATATACTGTGACCATGACTTTTGGAGTTTGTAGTGTAACAGCAAAACCAGCACCAATTTCTTTTTCCTTCTTTGTAATTTCACAGGTGGGAGACTTGTTCCTGAGCAGCCTTTACGGTGAGAACTTTCTCCCTTTTCACATAAAGAAACCATTTTAGCCCTCGCCAAGTAACTCCGTGGTTGCAGCATCGTCCCAATACACCAAGGTTGCGGGTTCAATCCCCAGTCAGTGCACATAAAAGAAATCAACCAATGAATGCATAAATATGTGGAACAATAAATCAATGTCTCCCTGCTTCCTCTCTCTGAAATCAGTAAATATTTAAAAATTCAACAAAAGAAAAGCAGTTTATGGCTCCTTTGGGCATATCCAAGTTGTCAACACCACTACTCTTACACCTCAGGGCCGTTACTAGGTAAAGTAAGATGGACTCAGACACAAGCACCGTGACACCATGAGAGTCGGTCCGATAACCCAGAAGAGTCTACTAGGTGCCTAGTGAGGTGTGTGGGTCTGTAGCATATACAGCGTGGACACACTGGACAAAGGTGATGCATGTTCCAGGCGGCACAGAATGGGGCAGTGCAGTATTTCACGACGCCACTCAGAACAGCATACAATTTACAACTTATAAATTGTTTATGAAATTTTACATTTTTATTTTCAGGCTCTGGTTGACCGAAACTGCAAAAAGCCAAACTGGATGGGGGGATTACTGTATTAGAAAACCACTGTACTATTAATTCTTTTAAGGTGTGATAATGATATTGCAGGTGTTTTATGGTTTTTTTTTTTAAGATGACAAAACCCCCTTTAGTGGAATTTTGATGGTTTCTGAAGGGAGCCACCCTCTGCTTTAAAAGAAATTCGGGGCTTTGGAGGAAAATTATATGTTAGTAAAAATAAGAATGTCAGGAACCTGGTAAATTAATTTAGCGAACCCTCTTTTCAAATTAAACATTGAAAACTTTAAACATCAATTATTCTTTTTGAAGATCTTGAACTATCACAACCGATGAGCACTTCTCCTCCCGTTTTGTTTACAAAAAATGCATCTGAGTACCTCGTGTAATATGTTGGTCATCCAAAGTCAAAGCTGAACCTTAAGCAGTTCTTCATTATAAACTGAGTTACTCATTCATGCAGCATGCAGACTACAAGCAAACACAGGCAGGATTATTCTCACCTTTACCTGCTCTATATGTCTTGGCTTGATTCACTGGCATGGGCGTCATTGGTATAGGGTATAAAGGCTTGAGGGATTAAAAAAAATAGATTAGGCTCTGAGGACAGTAAGAACATATTTTTACCACTCTCTCAGTTGTATATTGCTAGGAAGCTAGCTCTGAAAATCAGTATTCCTGATTTTCATCATCAAAAACACTAAAACACTCATAGCTAGAAGGACAAACCCTGAACTACAGTAAATCTAAACCATCTTTTTCACCAGAAATCAGTCTCTCAGTCTCAGATATAGGTCGTTACACTGAGACCAGCTCATGCCTTCCCTTTTCAAATACTTCTGTTACACCATCAGTGCCTCAAATCACTGCGCACCTACAGAGTGCCTAGTGTCAAATACAAATAACCAGGGTGAGCAAAGAATATCAAACTCCATGACTTACTTGCACGCCTGGGCTCACTGGGACTGGATACATCATATTTGGTGCAAAACAAACAGGCTGAGTATAAACTGGGGTTGGCTGCTGATGGCCCACCATAGACGGGCTGGGCTGTGCTTGAGGGCGAGGCGAAGTTGGGGTGGTAGACGGCTTTGGCTACAGAAACAAAAATCGACTATCTTAAGGTGAAAAGCTAACTATTATTGTAACTTGGAAACTAATTTTCCCCATCTTTCTAAGTTTTAGTTGCTTTCAATTGTCCCTTTTAATGAAAAGTCTTATAGAAAATAAACTTCACACATGTCAAATAAAAGAGAAAAACACTTTGGTAGAAAAAGTAAAGTTTTGCCAATAATCAATACTACTACTAAAAATAGTGGTGACTTTTAAGACACTCAAAAAAGTGTTTAAAAAATTAAAAAATAATCTATTTTCTTAAAAATTCAGGAGAACAGATAACAACAGTATGTCTATGAACCTGACAGCCTACCTAGACTCTTCCAAGTCTGAGTCACAAAGACCGAAAGATCTGCCCCAGATGGCACACTCTTGATGACGACACAAGGGTCTCTCTTATGGCTCGAAAATGCTCTTTAGTGACCATAAGAAACCGTAAAAAAAGGGAACTGAAAGTCGTTTCAGCACACTGTAACTGAATTTAAATGTCAGGTATGAAAAAAGAAACATTACTACTAATAATAAATTTATTTTTTAAAGGCTAGATTACTTCAAAGAAGAAATTACCTGAGAAAAAGAACGAGGGTTGAACTCCTTTGCATTGGGGTTCAATGTTGATTTCCTCACTTGCCTAAATCAGAACAAAAATATAAAGGCCAATGAAAGATGCATGGAATTTATGGGTCTCTAAAGCCCTCTTTACCTGACAGAATTTTTTAAAAATTGCTAAACATACAATTCTCACTATCATTGATCCACTTCATTAACACACACACACCACTCCTTAATTTGATAATAACTGACCAAACAAGGACACTTAAAAAAACCCCAACAGTATAATGTATAATGTTTCTCTCAAAGGCAATCAACAGATACTTTAACTGAAAAGCAGTAGTAGCCCCTTATAAAATATCCTGAAAGGCAATCTTTAATATACCAATTTCGTGCATGCACTATTTTTTAATGTGACGAAGTGTTTCATACATGACATACCTTGGAAAAAAGTGTTAATAAAATTCTTTTGGCCTCAAATCAAGAATAAGCACTCCCCAACTTATTAACGAGCTGCATTCCAAAAGTTCAGCTATAATCAGACTGTATGGGACCCATAACAAATAAATCAATGGTGTTTAAGTCAGGCTCTGTGGCTAGCCCATGAAAGTCCATTTAATTGATAATACAGGGGTAGGCAAAGGTAGGTTTACAGCTGTGAGTATATTCTTATATTATCATTTATTAACTATTATATTATTTGTCTTATTATTTTATATCCTTACTTATGGTTTATCTTTTAAGGTAATAATGGCTGGTAATTTAACCTCCTTTTGCCCATCTTTGTATGAAGGGGACCCAAAAACACTTGGAATTTACTTATAAAAAATTGTGTATCTAGTCTTCCATGTTTAAACTTTAGTCACTTTCAAAGTACTCTCCATATGATGCAATACTCCTATTGAGACATTGCTCAAAACAGGTTTTGAACTTGTCGATTTTGTCGCTTTTTAGTGCTTCTGCCATTTTTTTTGTTAGTTTGTTTGACTTCTTCTGTATCTGGGAAACGTTTCCCTCTGAGGATTTTTTTCATCCGGGGAAACCAAAAAAAAAAAAACACAAAAAAAAAACAAACAAACAACCCTCATTCAGGGTAAGATCAAGCGAATAGGGAGGGTGGGACATGAGGGTCATGCCATTTTTGGTCAAAAACTGTTGAACACTCAGTGGGCAGATGCGCCCATGAATCACCCATCATGAATGGGCAAATGTGTTGAGTCTTCAAAAAAATTTTCACTGAGGCTGAACACAGCCTCTCACAACAACGCCAGCTAGTGCACTGATGCAGATGGGCTCCTAGAACACTCACCTAGTGGGGGAAGCCTGTACTACAAGGGGCCCACCCTCCAGAAGATAATTCCAGGGTTTTTGGGCCCTTCTCTCATATACTGAATGTGCAAAATTAACTCTACTTTATCAAAGCTAACCGATAACTAAAACATTGTTTCTGATGGAAAATGATGACTTCCAAGTAGGGACATCAGATACTCCTCTCTTGTACTGATGGTGGCAGTTCTTACTCCTAGCAACAGAGCCAGGACCTAACACCGGAGGGACATAGGTCCCAAAAGTCAGTAAGATTTCAATCCCCTATACATCTACAGAAAAAGCCTTTCTTAATTTATACCTAAGGTTGTTTTTTTGTTTTGCCACTGGGTACAAAAATGGTGGGGAAGGGAAGAATAGTTCGGGGTACAACGACCTATTTACTTAAAATGTCCTTTGTTTAGACAAGCTGTTATAATCTGAAAGCTACTTATGAAACATTCTAAAAACCCAAATAAATTCTTGAGTTAGAAGGCCCTGGACACCTTAAGAAAAAGTTAAGTAAGTAACAGGACATGTAAATGCCAGGTTTACTCACTCAGCTGCGTCTTTTTTCTCCTCTTTATCATCTTTCTCTTGTTTACATCCTGGACTGGAAGTCTGAACCCCTTGGGATGTGACCTCAGGTCCCCTCTTGTGCTCCGTGTTACTGAGGATCGAGGGGGAAATGCTGGGGCTGTTTGGTTTGCTGCTGCCACTGGTGCAGTTGCTGCTATTTTCAATGAAAGAATCCTTAGCATTTGGTTCAATTTTGTCTTTCATCAAATCTCTTGATTTTTCTCCCTCTCTACTTTTGGTTAGCAGTTGATCCATAGATTCAGAAGTAGAACTTGGCTGCAACTAAATAAAGGAAATAATTATACTTGATTTTAAGCAACTATAGTAGTCAATTTTCTCCATGCGCACAACCACACTAATGTTATTTATAATCAGGAAATACATGGAATAAGGCTTCTGCGTACTTTCACAGTAATGTCTTCATTGTAAGGCAGTAACAGAACCATAGTCATCTTGCACTCAAATGTCCTAACCTCAAAATTAAATATTTACCGACTGTCTACCACGTGTTAGAAACTGTGCCTGCTGGGTATGGAAAACATTAAACTTGTGCCTATCCTCTCAGTGCTTACCATCTGGGTAAGATCAGACACTTCACATGGTGAGGGGAATGCTATGGGGTCCTATGAGAAAAGCAATTTACAGAAAAAGAAGGCTTCTCGACGATTAAGTGTCATCTAGTCTAAAATGTGAAGAGGTCTGGGGGAGGAGGGGAGTTTGCAAAAGGGAATGGTCTATGCAAAAGAAATATGTTTAAAAAATGCAGGGGAAAGGAAAGACATGGCCCCACTGTGCAAAAGAAGAGCACTTGTGCCCACAGCAAGGGTGGGCACATTGGCGGGAGTGACTGACTCATGAAACGACAAACTCACCCAGGAGGAACTGAGAAAAAAAGGAACTTGGAAGCTATGTTAAGGACTCTAGCTTTTAATTCACAGGTTAATGAGAAGTCACTGAAGATTTTTAAGCAGGATACAGTGTTGAGCAGAATCAATAAAGATGAGCACAGCAGCTCTGTGGAAAATAAACTGGAGGGAAGCAAGTGGGGTGCAGAGACACCATTATGGAGGCTGGACCAAGACCAGGGCCTGGCCTCGGGAAGCAGTGGCTTAGAGAGTCGGAAGTAGACGGATTTCTGAGGAAGACCTCATTAGACATGTTGGTCCTCAATATACCTTCATAGACCTTCTAACTTGTAAGTAAAAAAAAAGGAAACCACAAAACACAAGTACCAAACAGCAAGAACAGAAGTAAAAAGGTATTAGTGAAATAAACAATGAGGTAAGTTTATAGAACAGAAAAAAATCAACACTAGTCCCACCTGAAGATGATTTAAGATGTCATACTCCACAGAGGAAGACAGGGACAGATGAAGAAAATGGCGAGGAAAAGAGAAGGAAAAGTAGAAGTTGTAAAGGTGGAAATGAGAACAAGTACAAGCAGCAGCCCTGGGCAGCTGCACAGCAAAAGGGGCCATAAGGATGGAGAGAGAGAACTATATCCTCAGCCTCGAAACGGGCAAAACAAGGTCAAAGTGCCACTATTGGGGCCCTTGGCATTCTGGGAAGCAGCATTATTTGGCTCAGGGGCTCTCATGGCTAACTGCATCACCACCATAGCTGACGGAAAAGGGTGACAGGACATTTATTTGGACCCAGGAACAATTTAAGTCACAATATAGGCACTCCATTTTTAAGCCAGCATTTGTTCATAAAAATTTTAGCAGCGGCTACACAGATCAACCATGTACTACATACAGAAGACTTCTCCAATGTTTACCACAAGGGTCTTTCAGTAGGGCAAAAATAAGACTTTTGTTGTTGTTATTCATATAATGGTAAACGTATCTAAAGTACTCACTATTTGCTGGACACTTCTAAACTACAACCTTACTCAGTAGTTACGACAGCCTTATTTGATGTATATACTATTACTGCCAACTTACATATGGGAAAACTAAGGTGTAATTAATGCTTTTGAGCATTCTGCTATATTTCCTATCTGTAGTATATTAAACAGAAAGAAACCAAGATTTTTTCCCCACCGAATAGGACTACTTTTTAAAAATAGAGATATAATTGACACATAGGAATGCATTCATTTCAGGTGTAAAATATAATGACCCAGTGTATTTTGAAATGATCACAGTATGTCTAGTTAATAACTATCACAGTTACAGTATTTTTCTTGTGATGAAAACTTTTTAAGATCTCTTAGTAATTTTCAAATACCATACACAACACAACAGTGTTGACTATAGTCACCATGCTATACATCTCATCCCTATAACTCATTTATTTTGTAACTAGAAGTTTGTACCTTTAGACAATTCTCACTAATTTCACGAACCCCTGCCTTTGGCAACCACAGATCTATGAGTTTGGGCTTTGTTTTTTTCAAGATTCCACATGAGTGAGATCAGATGGTATTTGTCTCTCTGTCTTATTTTGCTTATCGCACAATGTCCTCAAGGTCCATCCGTGTTGTTACAAATGGCAGGATTTCCTCCTTTTTATGGCTGAGTAATATTCCCTAGTGTGTACACACATGCACACACACCTTTTCTTTATCCATTTGTCCACTGATGGACACCTATGTTGCTTCCATGCCTTGGCTATTATACATAATGGTGCAATAAACACGGGATACAGCTATCTTTTCAAGTTAGTGTTTTTGTGTCCTTTGGATAAATACCCCAAAGTGGAACTGAGTTATAAGACAGTTCTATTTTTAATTTTTCAAGGATTCTCCATACTGCTTTCCGTAGTGGCTGCATCAATTTACATTTCCATTGGAAGTACACAAAGGTTCCCTCTTCACAATCCTGGCCAGCACTTGTCATTTTTTCTCTCTTTGATAACAGCCGCTCTAACAGGCATGAGGAAATAATTCACCGTGGTTTCGACTTGCACCCGCCTGCTGATTGGTGATGGTGAGCACCATTTCATAGATCTGCAGTCATCTCTATGTCTGTTTTGGAAAAATGTGTATTCGGACCCTATGCCCATTTTTTAATCAGTTTTTTTCTGGGACGTGCTATTGAGTTGTGTGATTTATCTATTTTGGAAATTAACTCCTTATCAGATTTATAAATATGTTTTCTATTCAGCAGGTTGCCTTTTCATTTCATTGATGGTTTCCTTTGCTGTTCAAAGGAAAAGGTACAAAACGTCAATCTGGTGTGCGTCAGCACCCCACAGTGCAGGGCGTCTTCCACTTGCCACATCGCATTAGACAATTAACACCTTGGCCTTGCTCTGCTCTTCAGCAAATACACTAACCAAATAAATATAAAATAGTAACTTCTAGTAGTTTCAAACATCAAAATTATATTCTTTCATTTGATATTTTTTATTGTTCTTATCAAATCTCATGATTTTAGTTACTCTAATTAAAGTACAGGCAAAGACAACTTTAAGAATGTTTAGCTTTCTATACACATGGTTCAATGTTTGTGGTTGTATATACAATCCATTTTAGTAAATAGATCACAGAATAATTTAGTAACATTTAATATTTATGTTTTTAAATTCTAATGCAAGAACAATGAAAAATAAAATTCAAATGCAACACTTACCCTAAAATCATTCTTAAATTTCTTTAAGTCATCAATCTGTTTTCTATGCTCAGAAACAATTGGTGATATACCTGTAAAATTAATAACTGTTAGATACAAATTTATTTCTAATCTTCAACTTAAAATTCTTTTAGGATGGGATGTTAGAAGTGAAAATAAATTCTGTTATCAAAATAATAAAATTTTTAATAATTATAGACTTTGGGACTTGTTAATTATGCATTTAAATATATATAGTATTAAGAAAAATAATAAAAAATACTTTATATCAGCATGAGATTAGACATATTCCTTCATGTTTCTGTAGTTACACCTAAATATTTTTTAAACTCTAACCTTTATTTTCAGCTTTTGAGAAGCTAGGCGAGGTCTCATTAGGTTTTACATTTTCTTTATTCCCTGCGGGAGAGTTCTGTCTCTGATCTTGAAGCCTGGAATCCTTAGCTAGAAGATAATATTTTTAAAAATTCAAAGTTACATACATGATAGAAAAGTAAAATGGAAAAATACTCAACTATTTTTATCTCCTATGTTTTTGGAAAATATTACTTCCATTTAAGAAGGCCTTTCTCCTTTGTCAACATATGAAATACCAATAACTTACTTTATATTAATATTTACTACTCAGCAATGTTACCTCTTAACAAGACATTAGAGAGTAACACATGAAATCAGCAGTATTAAACAGATCACTTCATTTACATAAAATTTTAAATGTGCACACAAACACCCACCTTTGAATAAAACATAGCATTTTTTGTGTAATGTTCAACTTGTAACAACACTGCAGTCTACAAATGGTATTATGGACCCGGGAGCCCTTTCTCACCCACCCTCAATAGACGGGGTAACAGCTCTGTTGGATGCAGGACTGGCAGGTGCAGGAGATGCAGCTGGAACAGGCACAGCAACAGCTTCAGCTGGAATAATTCCAGCTTGGGGAGAAGCAAGAACTGGTCCACCAGGAGTATTGCCAACACTGGTCTGTCTGGGAGACCTGGGTCTGTGAGTTTTGGGGGATAATCTTGGAACTAGAAGAAAAAGAAAAGTTACTCATTACATTCTCAGCTCCAATGGCACGTCCTCAAAGAGGTTTCTTTTAAGGCCTCTTTTCTACGTAAAAAACAGTCCTATACGACCCCCATTCCCAATTACTCTTTATCCTATCACCTAATTTTTCTTTTCCAAGGTCTTAGGAATAGTAGTGGTGATTAAGAATATACTAATACCTAAGTACAACTGTAGTTTTTCTTCTAACTAAATATATTACTTCTAAAGGCAGTAGTATATTAAATGAAGTTAGAAACTATTTCTAAGGCAAGATAAATGCCACTTAAAAAGATAAAGACAGCAATATTCTCTACTAAGAAGTGAGATGCTTTCTTTTAAAAAAGTACAGGTGCAGGATCCCTAAGAATTAGGCTTATACACTTCTCCTTCCAATAATAAACTCAAACACCTTTTAGCAGCTCGTAGCCAGCCAGTCCTGTATGCTCCTTCTCACCACGTCAAGACCCATTCTGCAGTATCTAAGGAAATCAGGGACCAATTTAGCCAAGAAGGGAAGATAACCCAAGCAGGGGTTCTATGCCACAGCTTCAAAATAAGTATCTAATGGGTTTCCATTCCTATTATAATAGGAATAATATTCCATTATAAGCCCATTTATAGAGCTCAGATTCAAAGGTTTAGAGAAAATAGTTCAATTTGCTTCATGTTGGTGGTTCTTTATTTTTTTTGACTCACAGGATCATAGAGGGAAACTATTACTGAATAATTACCATTTTCTAATTAGTATAAAAAACAAGCTGTTACACTGTTCTGTGTGTTTTTATTTTTTTTAAGATTTTATTTATTTATCTTTAGAAGGGAAGGGAAGGAGAGGAGAGAAATATCAATGTATGGTTGCTTCTGGTGCATCCCCTGCTGGGAACTGGCCCCTGCTGGGAACTGGCCTGCAACTCACAAATATGCCCTGACTGGGAATCGAACTGCGATCGTCTGGTTCACAGGCCCGCACTCAATCCTCTGAGCTACACCAGGCAGGTCTTCTGTGTATATTTTTTAAAAGATTTTTATTTATATATATATATGTAGAAAAAGGGGATGGGAGGGAGAAAGAGAGGGAGAGAAACATCAGTGTGCAAGAGATACCGCGACTGCCTCTTGCACAACCCCAACTGGGGACCTGACCTGCAACCCAGGCATGTGCCCTGACTGGAATCAAACCAGAGACCCTTAGGTTCACAGGCTGGCACTCAGTCCACTGAGCCACATTAGCCAGGACTATGTGTATTTTAAAAAACCATTTAAAATACATATTTATTGATTCTGGGGGGAAGAGAGAAGCAGGAAGGGTCAGGGGAGAGAGAGAGGAAAACATCAATCAGTTGCCTCCCACACACACCCTGACCAGGAATCAAACCTGCATGCAATCTTTTGGTCTACAGAACAACGCTCCAACCAACTGAGCCACACTGGCCAGGCCTGTGTATATTTCTAACAACTACATTTTTACTCTTTTACATCTATAATTATGTTTTACTCTCAATATTCATTTCTAGATCACCTGAGTATGTCAAATGATTAACAGTAGAAATGAAGAAATAAAGATACTTAGAAATTCTATTTTGTTCCTTGAATTATTTCCTTATAATTGAAGACAAAAGAAAACAGAAAGTGTTAAAGGAATTTACAATATAATTATACATACATAAAGCTGAGCAGTGCACACCAACACAAGACATTTAAAAGAGCTGGATATCTTTTTGTTTGTTACGCTTAAAGATATATTTTTTAAAGGTTCAATGCACTAAGACAAGATTGTGACCAAAATACCCACAATCATTACATGTTCTAACTCCCCACAGTTACCATGAAAGCAAAACGTAAATAGCAAAAGCAGTCTTAGTTTAATGGTAAGATCTTGTCAAAGTGTAATTTTTACACTTTTATAGCTGCTGTCAGCACACTCCTCAGGCTACTCACAGATAAAACTTGAGTCCCTCGTTGTATGTATGTTTAACATTCCTCATAAGGGAAGCATAGTCAGGAATTAGCACCATAGACAGATGCTACAGAAACACACAGCACTATAAGCCTCAACAGGAATAGAAATGCAACCCCTGCAAACATTGTGACATCCTGTATTTGACTTAACTTTCAGTGGCACTTTAGAAAAGTATAGTCATACTTATGAGTATCATGAATCTCATCACAAGTCCATAAAGTAGACTCGGCAAAAATTATTTTACTCGCTGAGAAAACTGATCATAGGATTTGCTCTAACACATGGTGAAGTAAGTTGTGGAGCCCAGACTAAAAAATACACGGTTTCCAATCCCTGGTTACCTAATTTTTAATATGTACACTCACACTTCCTCAAACAGCTTGAGCACTGCCCTTCTTACTATAGTAGAATTACAAAATAAACACTGTCATTATGCTCTAAGCCAAGTGTTACTCACCCCCGCTGACCACTGACGACCAGGTGCCCCCTGCAGGACTGGTCCTTGCTGCTGGAGGGGCAGCTGCTTCACTTGGTGGGGTATGGGACACAAATTCTAGGCCACTGGAAATGGAACCCCTCCCAGCAGAAACTCTGTGATTTCGAGGGTGTCGCTGGGCCTTTGGGGACATCCTTGGAGGCCCTAAGAAAGGAACAGTGAACATGACATAAATGCTACAATGCCCATCAGTACAACTTTTGTGCTAAATACACCCCCCCCATTCACACATATTCCATTCATATTCATTCATTCTGTTTTCCTTGGTTTAAAAAAAAGGGGGGAGTAGGGAGCAAGCCATACATATTTTTGGTGGCATTCTTTCAGAATTATTTTGTAGAATGCTACAAAGTTTTACAAATAAGTTTTATTTCTCTTTATTTTTAAAGAAAGGGAGGGATAAAGTTGGTGGTAAGAAATCAATGTGATGTCATAACTCTTCAAAGATTTGAACCATGTGTTTAACCTATATTCATTATTTGTAAGCATATAAAAATAAGTAGAATAAAAATGTTAGTAGAAGTTACAGCTACATGATGAAATAATTTTTATTTTACAATATACTTTTAACTTTTCCCCTGAAATTTTCTATATTACTTCTAAAATTATAAAAACAATATTTTAAAACAAAAAAACCCTACTAACCCCTATATGTTTTTGTGTTATTAAAATTTACACGCACCCTCCTTAGATTCTCCAAAACCGTAGTGTGTCTCCCTCTCCTGCCATGGAGATCAGTTTTATAGCCCATGGCTTAGGCTGCCCTTGCCTGCAAGCAGCTCCTCAGCTTCAACAGGCTATGGGCTGAAAATTCTGTTAAGGTATGACTTTTAAAACCAGAATAACTGACTTTTAGGGAAGAAATTTGTACTCTATGAATTGCCAAATTCTACACTGTTAATTCTGCCCCCTCAGTAATGACTTCTGTTTCTAAAGAAGTCTGTCCTTCTGTCACACAACACCGGTGAACACTGTGCAGACGGCTCTCATCAGAGAAGCCGACAGTTGACACTGGGCAAAACTCACCCGAATGTCAAAGCCCAGGCTCCGCACCCTTGCCTTTGCTGCCATACTTTTTATAATGTCACATTAATTTGCATCCTCAATAGAAATTTAATCATGGATACAGTCTTAAAAAGAATGTTCATCTTATATACAACAGTTTTCAACTGGAGACAGGAGTGATTTATAACAAAGAATGATTAAGAATTGGGTATTTACATATTTTTTTACATCCTATTAGAAAAAGACCAATAATGTAGGATGGCATAGCTCAAGAAAATCAAACTACAACTTTTAAAAAATGCACTCTTTCTGGTAATATAGCAAATACAGAAACAAAACATATTCTCCTCTATTAAGCACAGAAAACCACTATATTTAATAGTTTTAATTTTGAAGTTCACACTTAAAAAATGCTTCAGTGTCACCTAACTGCACAACTACATAACACATTTTAACTCAAACTAGTTAAGAAAAAACCTTGAACGTAGCATCCCTGAGTATGCAGAAGGTGTACTTCTGCAGAAGCAGTCCACGAGCAGTCCTTACATCTTAGTGTCGTGAAGACGTTTGCGCTCACTGAGGAGTCCTGATTTATCGAACATATTCTCACGATACGAACATCAGGTATTTAAACAATGGACTGTAACAAATACTTAGATGGATTAGCTTCTTGTGTAGTGGCCATCAACACAGGTGCTTTTGTGTAAGAAAGTCACCTTGATGGTCAGGTGCAACGGTGCTGCTGAAGGTTAGCCTCTTTAGTCAGAATCACATGACCTCCCTGCCTGGATGGCAACAACTTATTAAAGAGCCGCCAACACAATTTTCTCCAGGGAAGTGCTTTCTGCCAGAAGACCATATTAGTCTCGACATTAGCTGTATCAATGCCAATTTTAATGAACAAATCTGATTAAAATTTTAACACATATATCTGAACATCAAAAGGACATTATCACTCAGAACACAGGTTTTAAATTTATGCACTGCATTTAAATTAAACTGTGATCTTTCTACAACATATCCATATATATGATATGTAGCAATGGTGAATTAGCATCAAATATTGAATGAGAATGACAGGATTTTATTTTTTTAAGGGCAAAAAATAGTTAAAAGATTAAAATTTATACATGGTTTTTATTAAATCAAGAACTTCTTCCAGGTTCAAGTAGACTTTCATTATAAAATATGGCAAAGCTAATTTTTGAAATTCTCCAGACGTAAAACCAAACATGACTGTAACCTAAAGGCTGACACACAAAGGCAGCTACATGGAATCTCCCTTTCAGAAAGTGCCCCTAAATCACCACTCCTGCCTACGGCCAACAGGTGGGTTCACTAGCACCTGGGCCAAGGAGCTGTGAAATGAACAGGCTCTGCAGTAGTCTGAGCGGAGGCTAAAGAAAGCTCACCGTGCACCATTGGCCACCTTATACATTGCGGACTGGGAGGGAGAAGGTCCTGAGGCAGGCCTTCCGGGGCTGCAAAGGAGCCCTAGCAACGGATCCCTCCCAGTGATCCCTGGTAACGGACTACCAGGCAGAGATAAACCCCATTTTTACAATTTGGGATAGTTCACAGTTTCACACAGCATTTTGTCAAATTTCTCTCTAATGAACAAAAGGTTAATAGAAACAGTTTAATAAACTAAAGTTAAAACACAGAAATTATAGGTTATCAAATAATGAAGAGGAAACTTTTCTAATTATAAACTCACATAGGAGTTAAACAAAGACAAACAAAAACATGAACAAATTGTGGTATTGTACCTTCTGAAGACATGCGTTTAGGCATAGTAGAGACAGGAGCTGGAGAACCATGAGCAGAGGGGTGAGACGGGGGTCTGGATGGCCGCGAGGGGGGCCTGGAGGGCGGCCGTGTAGGGGTGGCTGCCCGAGGTGGAAGAGAGTTGGGACCTGACTGGTAGCGAGAAGGTGGGCGAGAGGAAGGAGATGGGCAAGGCGATGGCCAGGGAACACCTGACAGAACAAATGATATGAAGGAAAGTATAAAAACTAAAGAAAAAAATGAGGGAAAAAAGTAAACAGAAAAAAAAGTAAAATGATAAAAATGATTTCTTGTACATTTTAACCCTTTGAGGACAGTCATTTGATTTGTGATAAGTTTTAGCATAACTTAAACTGACATAAATTCACATTTTACTTTAACCTCCTTAAAAGTAAATCTGTTTAAATGAATACACGTTCCCAAAGGGTTAATTAGGATCTACACATACTACTGAAGAAGACAGTTAAGACTTTGCCTAATAATCCTGCTTCTTTAACTGTTTCTGAGTAATCAACAGATTAAAGGAATATAACATATACTAGATAATTTCACACAATAACTCACAAAAACTCAGGAATAAGATTTACATTAGTTTTAGCTCTTGAGAAATAATGAAAATAAGCAGCAGCTATAAAATCCCATTAAAAATGCCAGTTTCTCATAACCATCTGTGATTTTCATCTAGTGTACACATAAGCTTCAGTCTGAAACCTCATTAAGCAAGTTAATTTAAGTAGAAATAAAACATTACTTCCACTACCTTCTCAAGTCACAGGAGTGACAAAGGTTAATAATAATTGCCTTTTCAAAAAACATTTTAATCTTTTCAAATTAGGCAATGTGGGGCCTGCTGTATCATTATGCAGTTTTTATTTAAGAGAGAATTAACTTATCTAAGAGACTGCGTAATAAACAATGCAACTACAGAGCAGTCTGACCAAATCAACCAACACTGACACAGATGTGCACAGGCTAGAACACCAGTAACGCGTGAACACAACACGGCACTTACCGTAACGTCCAGTCTCCTCTCCATAGGCTTCCACACACTTGAGTATCACACATTTCCCAGCCCCCTTCAGGTTTTTTATTTTGAAAATTCTGTTCACGAAAAACTAGAATTCTTTACTCAGTGAGCAAAGAAATCTCACCCCAATTACTAACTATAGAAATACTCAAGAGTGTTCATTTGGAGAGGAATTCTGGAGAAAGACTCAATGAAAATAAATGAAATTGGAAACTTGGAGTTCTCTATTTTTCCTCTTAACTTTCCAAACTTAAATACCTAAAACTGATTGCTCACTTTCCCCCCTAATTAGTAACACACTATTCACTTTCATTAATTACTGGATTCTCATACTGTCTGCAGTACCGCTGAAACCCGTACCACTGTCTAGTATCCCAGACTTAAATGAAAAACCATGACCTACGAGCTACATTCAATCTAGACTTAGAGTAGAAAAATCCCTTCCTACTGAAGATGCAAGTTTCTTTTACTTAAGCTAAACTACAATATCCACAATTACATCGAGAGTTGTTTTTTAAGCACATTTCACTCCACTTTCTTCACAGGACTCTTGGTCGTGTCTCATGTTAGAAGTCCCCTCTAAACTTTCTTGAAGCAAGCAGAACGTAAATGTATAAGCACACAGTAAATAAAAATAAATCTGTATTAACACTGAGTGTTCCACACAGGTTAGAATTTTCCACTTAAATTTTGTGTAAATAATTTTATCAACAAGTATTTTTAAAATTGAGAACATACCCAAAGTTTCCAATTTCTTTATATGTGGAGGTTTTTTTAAATTTTATTTTTTTGCAAAGTGAAGACATTTGCCAATGTCTCTGGTTGAATTTAGCACCTTATCTTAATACACGAGTTAATACATCATGTTAAATACATTCCAATGACTTATACTAATTTTACTAATTATCCACCAGGTAAATTTAAATTAATTTTTGAAGTGAAAACTACTTCACAGAAATCATTAAAGGTGTGCACATTCTTATCATTATGTAAACTTGTAAATATTTAGAAAGCTGTATATCTGGTCAATGACATTTGACAAATTTGGTTAAAATACTTGCCTCCATTAACTACTCTTTGGTCTGAACCAGAATTCGGGTTGAAATCTGAAGTGTGAGAGGTGGATCTTGACGGCATGGAGCCTGATCCAGGCTGGCCCATACGCGGTGAATTCTGTCTCCCACTTCCCCAGGATATGACTTCTCTATTTCTTTGTCCAGGAGGAATATATTTATTTTCCCTGAAAATGAGAGATCCTCTAAATTATCTTATCCTAAAAGGTACCAGGCCAATGAAACAAACCTTAAAGTAATTTAGGAAGAAGGGAATTCTTGTTATAAAAAGGTTAAACACTAAACCTAATGGCCTCACTCCCAGACAACCTTTCTCTTCCACTTTGCCCTGAGTTCTAGCCTCCTGCCCCTCCTTTCCCTCAGACTCTCCTTCCTAAGCACAAACTTTAACAGGTGTGTGTTCGTTCTAATCCACTTGGCCTCTTACATGGATGATTCTATCAGTCATGGTCTATCTTCCTGAAACTTTCTTCCTCCTTGGCCTTCTCTTTGTTTCCTCTGAGATCTTTTCTCTGTGTCTATTCATGGTTTTTCATGCTTTAATAGCAGCAATGCTAGTGAATGCCAAGTCCTCACTGCCAGTTGCCCAGTCTCGGCATTTCCCAATGAACACTTTAGTTCAAATCACCAGACTCTAAGCTATAAGTGTCTTAAAACAAGATGTGTATGTTACTCTAACAGGTATACGGCAGGTGGCTTTTCAACATATTTGTAAATAAATAAACGAAAGAGCCCTTAGACCCTCAAGTGCAATAAATTGCACGAATGGCCCCAGCTAGTGTAGCTCAGTGGATTGAGCACAGGCCTGTGAATCAAAGGGTAGCAGGTTCCATTCCCAGTCCGGGCACATGCCTGGGTTATAGGCCAGGTCAGCTCCCCAGTAGGGAGCAGGTGAGAGACAACCACACATTGATGTTTCCCTTCCTCCCCTCTCTCTAAAAATAAATAAAATCTTTTTAAAAACTGCACAAATGGACTCACTGTATTTCCCCTCAAACTTGCTCCATGTTTTCTAGCCCCATTACCAGTACAACCATCTGTTTACTCAGCTGTCAAATAAACCTCAGGGTCGCCCCTGGTCCCGCTAGTTACCAGGTCCTCACCCTTGCACAATTTCAAAACATTAACTGATCTCCATGTTTCAGCCAGTTCTCAATGTCCCAGAGTTTCCTTATGTAATCCCCTGCCTCCAAGGTGCTCTTTCAGTATGAAATGCAAAGTCCTTTGCTACCTCTGTCCCTATCACCAGTGTCCACCATCACACTGTTGACACTCACCCTGTATTCCAAAAACACAAAACACTAGCCTTTTCCTCAGCTGGTTGGGTTCTCTCGAACATCTTTTCACCATGCAAGGAATTCTTCTCTTACTTCTCTTTGAGTGACAGATTCACTACCCTATCACAAAATGTCACTTCCTCGGACCCTACAGGCTCTGCCAGTTCCTCCGCACACCAGATGTGCCTGGTACTCTGAACACACCTCTAATCTAAATGAGCTCTTCTAGACCTCGGCTTACTCACAATGTATACCCAACACTTGGCTCCACAGAGCTGAGGCTCCCAAAGTATTTTCCAAGATTACTATAATCTTTTCTTTAATAGAGCCTTAAACCAATTCCATTTGCATTCTCTACCTAAGCTACATTAAAGGAAGATGAAATATAATAATACACCTTGTCACACAGACCTTGAGTTGTGTATCCAAAATACTGCATCATGATTTCCTTTAAATACCTAGTGTTTATGCTGTGACCCTCACGTTCACTGGAATTTCTTTGAACTGCTGTGTATTTTTCTTCTTCGCTCCTCTCATCATTTTCCAGGGCCACCCGTGCTTTGTACTGGGCACTTGATTCAATTTCTTCTGCTAATTGGTTTGCTCTTGCTTCTCGTTTTAAAAATTCTTCCGAATTATCCCTTTCTAAGGGCACCCTGAAACATGGGGGGGGGGGGAGCAAAGTAAGTGTTTTAAAGTCATAGCTTATATATCTGTCACATTCAACTGTTAAGGGAAATTTAGAGTTTGAAATAAAACTCTGGTAAAACTGTAAGAGAGTTACAGTTATCTATTTATTTGTAAATAAAATTTTGAATTATGTTGTTAACCTTTTCCCTAGAAGAATATAACATTTTCAAATCTGGTTAAATTGACTATTCCCCCATAACCTCTACACTTGAATATTTAGTTTTTACAATTTAAAAACCTAACAAAAATAAAATTTCCACAAAGCATATATTTATAGTACAGGTAAACCACATTTATTCTGTTTTAATGGGAATTTATCAACTTAGGCAGTAACGAGATAATGCTTTCACAGACTTGTTTAATTTACAATCCAACAGAAACATTTACTCAATATAATTTGAGTTGATGATAAAGACAAATGCACTAAATATATAAAACCAAACTGTTTAAACTTACGTATATGAAGATAAACTGCTATCGTATGTAGACACTACGCCATAGTTTTCTTCATTATATCGAAACATATCATTGGGATCCCATCCATTAGACTAGAAAAAAATGAAGCTCATTTTTCAAAATGAAAAAATATTTGTCTTTTTTAATTCAGTTATAATCAATATCTGTATTAACAATATCATACTATACCAGCACAATCTAGCAAATTAAAAATGTAAGCAAAATATTCTTTTAAAAACTTTTTTTTTTGCCCTGGCTGGCATGCTCAGTAGATTGAGTACAGGCCTGTGAACCAAAAGGTCACTGCTTCAATTCCCAGTCAGGTCACATGCCTGGATTGTAGGCCAGGTCCCCAGGAGGGGGCATACAAGAGACAACTACACACTGCTCTTTCTCTCCCTCTCTCTAAAAATAAATAAATAAAACCTTTTAAAAAATGGTATTTTGTTTTGTTTAGAGAGAGGAGGAGGGAGGGAGAAAGACAGGAAGAGAAACAGCGACCGGTAGACTCTTACCTGTGTCTTGACCTGGGAATGAACCCACAACTCAGGCATGTGCCCTGAACAGGAACTAAACTGTTGACCTTTTCATTTTGGGGATGATGGCAAACCAACAGATCCATACTGGTCAGGACTAGAAATGTTTTAAGGAAAAACTTTTCTTCTATATCAACCCCTACAAGCTGGCAAATAACTATATAATTATTTGAGAGATTGTCAGTAAAAGTTTAGAATATTTATTACTTCATAAAATATGAGCCTTTAGGTCAGGATTCTTTCTTTTCCCTTACAGCCATCTTTCTTTTTTACTTTTGAGAGTAAAGTAAGTTTTACTCAGGTAGAGAAACAGAAAAGAAGCCAGGAAACAGGCACCCTTTGAAAAAAAGTGAAAACTATGCATCCAAGTGTACACAGGCCAACTCAAGAGTGAGTTGTGGACTTCCGGCCAAGATGGAGGCATAGGTAGACACACTGTGCCTCCTAGCACAACCAAAATTAAGGACAACAAAAATTTAGAAACAAAAAACAACCAGAACTGAACTGTATGGAAGTTTGACAACCATTCATCTAGATCAGTAAGAGGGGCAGAGTTGGCGGCCAGAGGATAGAGATCACACCTGAAAAAAGCGGTGGCTGGCGAACCCGGGGGTACAGGAAGTGGCTGGCAGACCTCGGACACACATTCGCATGCAGATAAACCAGATGAAAACAGGCAGTGAAACAGACTGCGCAGCCCAGGGCCCCAGCACTGGGAAATAAAGCCTAAAAGCACCAATTAAAAAAACTTGTGGGGATCGAGGTGCCAGGAGAGACTCCCAGCTTCATAGGAGAGTTGGATGGAGAGACCCCACAGGGTCCTAGAATGGACACAAGCTCACCTACCCGGGAATCAGCACCAGAAGAGTCCAGTTTGCTTGTGGGAGGTGGGAGAAGGGACTGAAATCCAAGAGAGAGAGAGAAAGGAGCAAGCACCGCTGTTCCCTCTCTGACCCTCCCCCCGCCCCCAACACAGCATCACAACCTGGCCACAGGGTTGCCCCGCTGCCCTGGTGAACACCTCAGGCTCCACCTCTCATTCGTAACAGGTATGACCAGAAAAAAATAAAATAGACTTCTGGGAAAGATGGAGGCATAGGTGGAAACACTGTGCCTCCTCACACAACCAAGTTTAAAGACAACAAAGTTTTAGTAACAAAAACGCAACAAAACACAGAAAATTAAACTGTATGAAAGTCCGACAACAATAAACCATTCAGCCAGACTGGTAAGAGGGGTGGAGTCAGCGGCTGGTGGAGCGAAGTCGGGCAGGCAAAAGCAGCCTGATTAACCCAGGAGCGCAGGTGGCAGTTGGCAGATCCCAGGTGTGGGGTGACAGTGGGCAGACCCAGTGGGGGTGCAAGGTGGCTGGCTGACTGCAGTCACACATTAGTGTGCAGATAAACCAGGTGAAGGAGCAAGCAGTGAGACAGACCGCCCAGGTTAGAGCCCCAGCGCTGGGAGTTAAAGCCTGAAAGCAACTAACTGGAGAAACTTTCGGGGTCAAGGTGCCAGGAGAAGCTCCCAGGCTCACAGAGAGTTTGTTGGAAAGACCCACAGGGTCCTGGAGGGTGCACAGGCCCATACACCCGGCAGCCAGCACCAGGGGGGCCTGGTTTGCTTGCAGGAAGTAGCAGAGGGGACCAAAATCTGAGAGAGCGTGGAACAAGCGCCATTGCCCCTCTCTGACCCCCCACCCACATACAGCATTACAACCCAGCAACCCGGGTGGCTCCACCCTGGTGAACACCTAAGGCCCCACCCCTCATATGTAATAGGCGTGACCTGACCAAAACACTATGGCTCAAGCAGTAAAAGAGCTCAAAGCCCCAGAGCCAATACTTTTAAGCAACCAAGAAATAGCCAACCTATCAGATGCACAGTTCAAAACACTGGTGATCAGGATGCTCACAGAACTGGTTGATTTTAGTCACAAATTAGAGGAACATATGAAGGCTAAACTAATTGAAATGAATGGAATTGCACAGGAAACCAATAGTGATGGAAAGGAAACTGGGACTCAAATCAAAGGAGTGGACCAGAAGGAAGAAAAAAATGACCAAACAAAAATATGAAGAAACAAGAATTCAAAAAAATGAGAAGAGGCTTAGGAACCTCCAGGACATCTTTAAATGTTCCAACATCCGAATTATAGGGGTACCAGAAGGGGAAGAGGAAGAGCGACAGGTGGAAAACTTATTTGAACAAATAATAAAGGAGAACTTCCCCAATCTGGCAAAGGAAATAGACTTTCAGAAAATCCAGGAAGCTCAGAGAGTCCCAAAGAAGGTGGACCCAAGAAGGAACACACTAAGGCACATCATCATTACATTAGCCAAGATTAAAATGAAGGAGAGAATCCTGGAAGCAGCACGAGATAAGGGGACAGTCACCTACAAAAGAGTTCCCCTCAGACTGTCAGCTGATTTCTCAAAAGAGACCCTACAGGCAAGAAGGAACTGGAAAGAAGTATTCCAAGTCATGAAATCCAAAGACCTCCATCCAAGAGTGCTTCTCAGATAAGGGCAAGTTCAAGGAGTTCATCATCACCAAGCCCTTATTATATGAAATGTTAAAGGGACTTATCTAAGAAAAAGATAAAAAATATGAACAGTGAAAAGACAGCAAACTCAGTTATTAACAACCACACCTAGAACAAAAGCAAACTAAGTAGACAGCTAGATCAGGAGGGGAACCATAGAAATGGAGATCACATGCAGGGTTAGCAACAGGGGAGTGGGGGGAGAAGGTACAGAGAATAAATAGCACAGATGGTAGGTAGAAAATAGACAGGGGGGAGGGTAAGAATAGTATGGGAAATGTAGAAGCTGAAGAACTTATGACACATGGATATGAACTAAAGGGGAAGAATGTGGGTAGGAGGGGGCGTGCAAGGTGGAGGGGAATGAAGGGGGAAAATGGGACAACTATAATAGCATAATCAATAAAATATATATTTTTTTAAAAAAGAGTGAGTTGTGCCCTGACAGCTATCTTTCTATAGGGTATTTACTGGAAATCTTCTAGAGTTGACTGATCAGTAGGTCTGTGTGAGACAAGTGGTGTTTTCTGATAGCCAAAACTATTTCCAGTGTTTGGGGGGAAGGAAGGGAGAAGCTAAAGCTTCGCCACTACACCACTGCTTCGAGGTGGAGCATGGTATTAGATGCCCACCATTGTCCCCCTCCTCCTGGGCATGCTCAAAGGGAAAGCAGCATGACAGAGTGAACAAGTAACCACTGTACAAAGTCACAAGAGCTAGGTCTGAGAACTAGCTTTTGCCATAAGTAGCTGTGGATCCTCAACAATGAGGTTCTAGGGCTTGGTGCCCTAACCTGTAATCTCAGTATGCATAAGTCTACAATTCCATGAGGAGGCTACCATTCTCTAAAGCTAAACTATATATTTTTAACTACATTCCTTAATCTATAAGAATCAATGAATCAGGGACAGAGGTAGGAAAAATCTTCACTGGTGAATATTAATGTCTCGGTAATCACTACTCTCTATTACCGTATTCTTAGGACTATAAGACACACTGGACCGTAAGATGTACCCAAGTTTTAGAGGAGGAAAATAGGGAAAAAATTTTTGAAGCAAAAAATGTGGTAAAATATTTAATAAATTGTGACCCCGCTCCACCACTGTCTCTCCACCACAGCAAGCCAGGTAAGCTACTTTCGGACTGTAGATGCACTCCCCCTTTCCTCCCAAATGTGGGCGGAAAGTGTGTCTTATAGTCTGAGAAACGCAGTAGTGTACTTCAACTCCTCTTTTAAAGTCTGACTGATGAAAAAGGCCAGATACAGTACTCAATCGTAACCCATATCTCGAAGAGAGAACACAGAATCACCCAAGCAATGTGGATGGCAGTTAACACTGAATCTTGCCTCTAAATCAACCATCAACTCTGGGTCCTTCTGCACTAATCCAGATAAAACTATAATGTAATTCCACCACTACCACAACCCTTTAGTCCTAACACATGGACAAGAATTCAGTTACCTATGGAGGTTTCAAAATTACTTAAATAGTATGTGCTTCATGTAACAAATCTCAACCGTGCAGAAAGACATACAACAAAGTTAATGTCTTCCAATTCCAGCATGCATAACTACTATTAATAACTTCTTGGGCTTAATCTAGACAGTCTCTGTGTATATATAAGAATATAATCAGCTTTCCTAAAAATTTCAAATAGAATCTTCTTGTTCTAAAACTTGCTTTTTCTTTGATTAACTCTTGCATATCTTTCCACATCAGAATACTATTCTTTTTAGTGGACACAGAGTATTTCAACTGAACGAAGGTACAATTAATGTACTTAACCTACACCCTTCTAATAGACAGTGAAGATGTTAACCAATTTTTCACTATCAGAAATGGCTGCCAAAAACATCCTCATATATAATTATTTTAACATCTTCTGAATATATTAGGGAAAAAAATAAATTCTCAGAGGTAGAACTGCTAAACAAAGTGTATGTGTATTTTAAATTTTGATAGATAATTGCTTGAAAGCATCTATCAATTTTTCTGCCTATCATTAAAAAAAAGAGTGCCCGCCTGGCCAGGTAGCCCAGTTGGTTAGTGTCGTCGCAACACGTCGAGGTTACAGGTTTGATTCCCAGTCAGGCAGGGCACATATCAGAATCAACCAATGAATGAAAGAATGGGTGGGGCAGCAAATTATTAGGTTTTTTTTTTCCTCTCTCTGAAAAATTAAAAAAAAAAAAAAAAAAAAAAAAAAAGGAGTGCCTACTTCTCCATACCTTCCATACAGGGGATGTGCCACACAGGCCTCAGGAACCTTCACACGAGGTTATATTTGCTTCTTTAAAGTCTGAAAATTAATAATGATGTGCTGCCTATGTCACACCCAAAAAATGTTTCCTATGTATTTTGACTGAACAACGACTTAAACGATAAAAGATTTGTTATAAAGACTTCACTGTAATGTTCCATGGAAGAGTCTTCATCCAATTTAAATTTTGATAACTAAACACTCCCTTTTGGCAAGAGATTTTGCTTTCTATCTCTATAGTTTAGAAAATTAATTTATAGAATCCTAAAGACAGAGTCTTTATTAAGCATTTTATTTACAGATGGTATGTATGTTACAGGAAAAGTAAAAATATTTGCCAAGAGGCTTTTAAAAACAGATTTTTGTGGAGAATAATCTTAATTTAAGCCCAAGAAATTTACCTGTTGCTTTAATTCTAATGTTACCTAACTATATACCTTAATCATAGGCTTCCTCAGAGAAGCCTAAAGGTGTACTTGGACCTCACCTAAAATCAAGACAAGATACCACACCACTTGCCTTGGGCTGCCTTATTGGGGCAGAGTTCTCAAAGCAAAACGGGGTGGCATTTCCAGTTTCCCATGGTTTCTTATTTAAATTTCTAAGTTGCTTGTTATGACTTACTTTAAAAACAGAGAAATAATTTGTAAGCATCCCAAAGAAACATTTTTCTGTATATACTGCCCTGAGGTAGAGATGGGGAAAACAGAGATGACAGTCTTATTTACACAACAAAACTGCTGCTTTAAATATACCTATAACAATAACAACATACTTAAGTTAAAACCAAGTGACAGGATGTCATACCACATCATGTGGCCACAGACTGATACCAATCCAAACACATTACTTACAACATCATTTTCCAAAGCTTCTAGTTCCTCATTAGCAGTGAGTTCACCTGAATCCCAGGGTTCCAGGTCCTTCTCTTTGTGTTCACCATTCACTTTAGCACTGATTGCAGAATCAGTAAAAGCATCTGTAAAGGATATTTTTGGTTTAAAGATCATACAACCAACTAAAGAATGGACTACTATACACACATAAATTATCAACAAAGAAAAAAATCAACAAAGACGTATGCTAACAAATAATTATGAAAAGGAAATCTCTAATACAGAAAAAATAACACTCATTAACAATATGCTTTCAGATGTTTAATGCTCCTAATTCTATAGCCTTCAAAAAACTTAATTGCCATCATAGATAATTATTAATGAAGGTATATATTCTCATATAATTTTAAGCCACATAAAATGTTTCTTATGTATTCACAAGTCATTAAGTTATATCAAAACGAGTTACTCTGTGTTTTAGAAGTTATCTGGAAAATTTCTATCTATTCACCTAAAACAAGACCTCTTGTTTAATGAACCCAGTACTTCTTGATATGCTCAGAGCTCCTGCAGCCAGACCTAAGATTTTTTAACTTTCTGAACATATATCTACATGCAAGTATCAGTACCCTAACACACTCTTGCCATCGGTAACTGAAGCTATTCTAAACGACAGACACCATTCTTCCCTATAGCCACCCTGTTACAAAATGCAGGCCCTGCAGTGTTGCCTGTCCCCAAAAGTTACAGGCAGCAGGTCTACCAATTCTTTCTCACTTGTGCCCTCTTCTCCTCTCTTCTTGTTACTGAGGACAACTACAACTAGCTTGTGAAAACCACACAGCATCACTATGTTCAACTGACAGGCACTATCTATATCTATAGTTGTCCAGCAAAGAAAATTTTCCTCTACTTGGGGGGTTAGGATCCAGCTAAATCAAGGTTCGCTTGGGCAATGTTAGCATTAGAGAATGGTACGGAGATAAACACCTGCGTTTCAATGACTGGATCCGCAGGGTATTGTCTAGCACAGGGCTAGGCACCGACACTTCTGCTGATCTGGCTCTGCTAGAAAGGACTGGCTCCCAGTCACTGTCCCTCACCCTTACTGCAGTCTGCCACCAAGGAGGAGAAGGAAGGGAACAATTAACATCTGTGTCTTCTTCAAAAGAGCCATTTCCAGAAGGATTTTTGATTTGGTACTACTTGTATAACTATTGCCTGCTCCTTAGTGGGCTAAGTGATGACAAAATAAGAAATTTGAGCCAGGGATTTTAGGAATGGCACTACAAATCTAACTAGCTCTTTCCTCCTCTTACCCCAAACTAGAGGTATATGGGTGTGTACAGGTGTGCACACACACTAGGGAATAAAAGCATAGTTGTACTATCGGGCTTAGATGCCAGCTCTACCAGCAGCACACCTCCCACTGCTATCAACTGCATAAAACAAGAGCACACAGAGAGCAGTCCCCAGAGCAGCACACCTTAGCTGGGAGTGGGGTGCAGCAGTCACTGGAAGATGACTGCACTTGGAACGGCTTTCTAAGCAGTTCAGACAGGCTGATGCCGTCTTCATAATGCCACCTTCAGATGAAAGCCTCTGATGGTTCTAAAAACTTGGCTTTACAAGACACTCGCCTGAGTCAAGCCCTACTCTGTATCATCTTAAAGTTACAAAAATTCTTGGTAAAAATTAATTTTGCCATGTGTATTTTTAAGAATGTGAAATGCTCCAAGAAAACATCAAATAGTAACTTACATTAGGAAGCTAAAATTCCCTATTCTAATTTTCACAAGACTAGAACAGACAATTAGGCTACAGGAAAATTCCAAACCAGTAATGTTATTTTCTGCAAGAAGCAACAGGATTATTAATTTATAGTTAAGATCCTGTTAATGTTTTAATCACACTAATTTTTGAAAAGCATCTATTTATGTGAATAAAGCATATATTTAGGTGGAAATCCAGCATTAAAAGTAGCAGTTTTTATTCACAAAATTAAAGCTTAAAGCAGCAATAGATTTTTTCATAGAACCACATAAATGGGCCTTTTCTCACTGCAGGTATGTATGTCTACAGATGGCAAAGTGTTCAGGAAAGACTAGAAACAGCTGATTCTGACATAAAATTGAGAGACTGAAATACACAAAAATAGCCTCAATAACTTTTATCATTGATATTATTCTAAACAAAACAGAAAGGCTCCCTCAGTGGGAGCCAAGGTGAAAAAACAAACCTCACTGAACCAAGTTTTATTCTGCTGATCACAGTTTGGGTTGTAGAGTAAGAGGCTATTTATTCAATAACCTATTTCTTTCAATACTACATTTTTATCTTAAATCTTCCGTTTACAATACCAAACTTGTAAAAGAAATAGACTATTTACATGTTTTTACTTAGCATTATGGTCTTCTCTCAAGGCAGAAATGGGGGAAGGGAAAATGCAAAAGTGTTCTCTTAATAAGGAATAATAGTCCCTTTAAAATTTCCCCCAAAGAAAAGTCTCTCATTGACGATGAGTAAAGAGTTTAGGGAAGGATGTGCAGAAACGAAGTCAGCACAACACGAGGCTATAGTGTCAGGATGCTGGGGAACACCCTGCTCATAAATACTTTATTTCAGATCAGCACTGTGTCACTAGCTAGAAGGAAGCAAGGCCTGCCTATTCCATTCTACACTGTTACAATTATCCACTCCGTAAATTCTAAAAATGCTGTTTTATTAACAGCCATGTTTGGGTTTTTGAAAAAACATGGTTGGTATTACATAGTGCAATGTTGTAGCCAGAATTTCTGCGAAGTTCAGAAAATCAACTGGCTGTAACCTAATTGCAGTTGTGGGAATTTGCATGTTGATTTCCCAAAGCCATAAATCAGAGTGTATTAACTTTCCATTATCCTCTATGGTAAGAAACAAAAGCATTATAAAGGCAAGATGCAAGAATACAAAGTGACTGTTAGAAAAATGTTACCTGTTTCTGAAGGAACTACAGGTACAGAAAGAAAAAAAAGAAAACAATAAAAATTATCAGATGAAATAACAGATATAACTTCATCATGTGCTTCATTCCCTGCTTTATAAACATTCAATTTACAAAAATCTCTAAACTAGAAGGAAAAAAAGGTACAAGATTATCAGATTCCCTCCCCAAGTCCCCCTATTCTACCCCCACAGCATGAGGGCTCTCAAAGCCTCCCTCCTTTCTGATTCTGGGCAGAAACCCAGTCATTTTGGGCCAATGGAGCCACCTGGTGGTGATCAGAAAGAAATGTCTTAATCAATTCATGCCCCACCCCATGATTATCCCTCAGCCCTAAACCCAGGAAACAGGATAGGTGCTCTCCTCCTCAAGTTCCCCTCTTTTACTTCTAGTCAATTATGACCCTGAAAAAGCAGAATTTTCTGAGAATATTTTAAAGAGCCAAAATAATAGTGAAATTAGATTAATCGCTAGTAATGTGCTATAAAATATAAATTAAAACCACAAAATTACATAACACTATTTGAAGCTTAAAAATCATTATCAGACTTAACATCAGAAACCCTCAAATATACTTCCAGAAAAGTCTTCACCAAAATTCTCAAACCATTTCCTCTCTCAATTAAACCTGCTTTTTCTCAAACACTGAAATTTTAGATAAATAAAAAATGTTATTTCAATAGTTTTGTTGTTTTGACCAATTATTAATACTGTGACTTTTTTCAATGACTTTAAAGAGTATTTTCTCATCATGTACCATGAGTTACTTACACAAGGACCAATCTGCACACAACAGAATCTCTGTTACAGTGGGTGCCAACGAGGCAACTGATTAGCATTTACTGGGTATCACTGAGTCTGGATGAGCTAGGGAGTCAAATGTGACTAAGATATAATCACTGGCTTTTCCTGCAGGAGTTCCTAGGTACAGAAAAGTAGTTACAGATACGAAGCACATCTTTTAGGATCAAATGTGTAAAGTATTGATTGAAGTGTGAGAACATAGTTCTGAGGAACAAAAGGCTGTAGCTTTAAAAGCAACAGCTGATCAGGACTTCAAACACACAAGCAAAGCCCTGGCCAGGTAGCTCAGTGGGTTAGCGCGTCCTCCCAGTACCCTGAAGTTGTGGGTTCAATCCCTAATCAAGGCACACACAAGAATCGACCAATGAATATGTAAGTGGATGGAACAACAAACCAATGTCTGTCTTTCTCCCCCCTTCCTCTCTCTAAAATCAGTAAATTAAAAAAGCAAGAATTAAGTAGGGAAAAGTAAAGGGGCTGTAACAGACTAGAGTAGCACTAAAAATAAAATTTCTCCAAATGTACACAAGCCCACAGATGAGATTACCTTTGTGTTTTATATTCATCTGCTTTTATGAATTTACACACTAAGTATATACTCAACCATGAATTTTATTATATAGATAATATTAAAGAACACAGTATTAAAGAACAGCATGAAGAAAAGGTGGGGATAATGAACACGGCGTGGGCCCAGGATGTGTGAGTAGGAACGAAAGGACCCAGGGGACAAGTGGAGGCAATGCCCTCAGGCAGGAGGGAAAAAAGGTAAGAGAGGACTGCAGGGAGCAAGGGGGTGGTGCACAGGCAGCCTGTAGATTAGGGATTCTTAAACCTTTTTTCTTTGATTCATGTACCCCTCTCGCATTTTTGGGGAGCTGATGAATTTAGTTGCATAAAATACACAGGAAATCAATTATATGAAACACAGTTATCAACATCTAAAAACCCAAATTTGTGCCATAGTAATATACGCTTTTTATTAATCCAGTAAACAATGAGATCTAACAACAAATCTAATAACTACTGCAATTTTAAAGAGGCAACGAGCATAAGTATTATTTTGAGATATCCATATCTATGCAAGTGAAATAAAATTAACTGAATTCTATAGATGCTAAAGGTGCAAACACTACATTTGCTGCCCATATTAATAATGGAGAAGCCCTGGCTGGTGTAGCTCAGTGGATTGAGTGCGGGCCTGCGAACCAGATAATCGTGGTTCGATTCCCAGTCAGGGCACATGCCCAGGTTGCAGGCAGGTTCCCTGCAGGCCAGTTCCCAGCAGGGGATGCACAAACACAACCATACATTGATGTTTCTCTCCCTCTCTCCTTCCCTTCTCCTCTAAAGATA